TCAGTTACGAAAGGATATGAGTGCAATAAGCCTACTACTTCAACATTTCGAGGTGCATTGCAGTTGAAAAAACAACAAATTATTTTCACTGCTGTTCACATCGGATTAAAGTATAAGTAGGACTACGTGTCGATATGTCCATTCGTAATTCCTCGCCGTTGGGGCTCACATCGTGCGGTACATGAAGCACATAATTTCTAAACCTGGAAAACACTAACAAATCCACTCTACAGACTGGTACAGAACATTCATCGCAGTTAGTGTGAAGATGATGAAAAATGCCTAACCTGTCCTTGCCCTTGATATTTGGTACTTGAACGACCCATCCTCACTGGTTGTGCAGGCTGTAGCACAATCTCCATTTCTCGGAGATTTGCTGAGTAAGCCATTTTGGTTCCCTGGAATCCGGAGGTCAGCTTGGCCAAAGTCTGCCCTAGGTCGTCACCACCACAGACAATCGCAGCTTTTGTGGATCACAGGGTGATCTGCAGCATACGACTTTGGTATCAGGACGGTGGTGGATCCTAGTATTGCCCTATGAAACAAAAGCATTAGCATGCACTGCTTGCTTCGTTCACAGAGCCCGGACTCCCATTTTTCAACAGCAGTAAAACTTCCGTGTTGAAACCCTCAATAATCTGAAGCCTAATCTTGCATTTTTCATAATAATGCATCGACGGATGATAGAAACACTCGTGTTTTAGACGGATTGAACCGTTCACCGACCTCTTTTGTAATGGATAACCATGAAGCATTTGGCATTTATCTATTCCTGAGGTACGTGCCATTCATTTGTCTTTATTAAGCATTGCAGTGGTGCTTCAATGCAAATCTGGCCTATACAGTGCTGATCAATGCACTCATAGTGGACGACCGATCTATCAACTCATTGTAGTTAGCCTCCCAAAGAAGTCTAGTACCAATTTGGTGAGCCCGGAGGAATGAAAAGCTTCGTGAGCCCAGATTTAACCAGTGACTACGAATGTACTGCAAGGCACAGCTAACTACTGTCCTAGACATCCCATCTTTTTCAAATAATAGTTTCTAATCGAAGTTCGCTTCTTACATTCTTCTTGAGCAATTGGTCATTTTTCATTCCCACTCTAACTTTCGATTTCTGTATTGCTGTCGTGTCCAAATCAACCAGTAGCAAGACGAACGAAGGAATCGTTGCCGAAAAGATACTTCCCTTGGATTCACATCGTGATGAACATCTGGAAATGCTCCTGCAAGGTTAAGTCAGGACTCCAAGGAAGACCAAACTGCTCAACTAGAAATACGCCAGCCCCAGTACCCCGAACATCTGGTGTATCGTCTTTGACGTCAGGCGATTAACCGGTGAGAGTCCACAAAATCTAGGGCTACCCAGAACGTTCCTGGAACCAGATCTGACAAACAAACGCACGACACGTTATGGAGATTGCTTCTTGTCCTGCACGTGTAATGGCAGAACACTCTAATCAGACTTCGATCGTCACCCTCTCTATGAAGCTGCAGATTGCAGCAAACTTCCGGTGATCGTCCTACAAGAGACAAAAAGCAAGAAAGCTAACATATGCCAAATAAACAGCGGAACCCTTGTCATCTACAGCGAAAAGGCCCCATCACGAAATGTCAGTGGTTTAGGGTTTGTGGTGCACTGGTCCACTGTCCATCTCGTCGACTTGAACGAAATCCTTTGTCCTCGCATTGCCTGTCCTCTCTCTTCAACCAATTCCTCATAGGCACATTGCCATCATCAACTGCTACTCACCGACCGATGTAGCTGATAAGTACGAATTAGGTACGTACTATCAGTTGGAGGAAGTTATCCGCAGTTGTATTTCGTATTATAAATTTATTTTCGGAGACTTCAACGCCAAGTTTAAGACTAGGAGAAGGAAATTCCATGGAGACTCGTTTTTCCAGAAGAAAGAGAGCCAACGCTGAATATACGAATTTCCTAACGGTGTGACTTATGCGGAGACCGTTCATATTCTGACAAACAGAAGATGGTCTTTACTTGGCACACTGACCACCGCCTTTTTCGTGCGAAGAATTAATTCAACCGTGAGCTGAAGGAGAATTCATGCCATCTACCAAAGAGAAAAAGACGCCCCGTATATGATGAAAAGATTGCAAACTAGATCCTTTGGAAGCGAACAGGTAGATTAAAGGGGATCCTGCCGAAGACTAAGAGCTGCTTGTAGCAAGTTTTAAAATCGTGCCAAATTCGTCTCAGTTCCCCTTGGAGGAAGATCAGACTGCACCGCACCTTACCTCTAAGGATCGCTCGACAACAGAAGTAAACCGAGGTTTGCGATACTACTGTAACACACTTAACATAGCTGTTGATAAATTCCATGCTAGTTACAGAAGAGTTTTGCAGGAAGATCTATAGGCAGAAGAAAATGTTAGAAGCAGCACAAAAAAGAGTCAGTCAAAAATGCGCCGTCCCAACTTTTGCGAGTAAGATGCTCAGCTCCGATGAGCGAAGATGGGATCGCTAAAACTTTCCGCCATAATGTGGAATTAATAACGGAAAAGTTCTACACCACCTTTTCGATCCCACATTGCTCGCTGGGGAACAACCACCTGGAATTCTTTTCTCAGAGATTCGTGTTGCGATAGAGAGCATGAGAAAACGCTTAGCTCCAGGATCTTCTAATATGACCGCCTAGTTTTTTAGAGCTGGAAGCCACAACCTATATGTACTTCTCGTAATTCATCCTCATGTCATATCATGTCATTTACATCCTACTTGCAAAAGGCAAAAATTCCAGACCAGCGGTGGGCAACGCACACGTTTATCCTACCCATGAAAGATGACCGAAGGGTCTTCGTAACTACCATCCAACATGCTTGTTGAGTGTATTCTATGAACTGTTCACCAGAACTGCACTTTTGAGCATATCGAGGACATTGGATGAGGCACAACCTTTTGAGCAAGGATTTCAACAGAGAGATTCTGCTGTATGGAGCACATCAAAACCGTGTCATGGGTCATAGAAGTCTGCCGGAAGTGCCATACACCCTTTCTCCTAACTTCTATCCAATGCGAGAAACCGTTCGACAGAGTCGAAACAAGTGCAATCCTATCAGCGCTCGTCGATAAAGAAGTGGACTGGTCCAACATAAGAACTCTGGCTGTTATCTTAACTACACCACGAAAATATAGTTTTTCAATTCACCACTTACCATAAAATGATAAAGGATAAAGCTCTCGACGTTGATCAAACTCTGAGGTATGAGCCATGCATTCGACTTCACTAAGTGTCGTTGGAGGTGACTGAACGCATATCTGGCCTTTACAATGACTCGCGGTGGTCTATCGATGTATCGAGCTAGTGCTACTGTCCTCCTAGACAAGTCTGGTACCAATTTGCCTACCCTGGAGGGATAGAAGGGTTGCTGGGCCATGGGCGCTGGGATCGATTCCACGTGTGTGTCGTAGTGACACCTCCAACTACTGCGCCACACGCGCCCTTACTTTCCTTGCGTCTTACCATACCCATAAGAAAAGGGGTTTAGCATGGCCACACAATACCACCAAAGCTGTTTACTGCCGTATTGCAATAGATAATGAAATCAATCGATTGCAACGAGAAAGATATACGCACTAATGGAAAATTCCTATCAAATCTTGGATTCGCCGACGACGTTGTTATCTTTTAGGGGAGCACCAAATGAAGCAAAAACGACGCTCATTGAGCTCAGTGAAGCGGAAAAAAGTTTAGACTGCGAAAAAATAGGGTGAAGACCCGTTCGTGAAGAACTTGTCGTGAGAATCCGCATAAATCGAACTAGGTATTTTCTGATTATAGAGACCACCTCTTACATGTACCATGAACGTTCACTGAACGTGAAAAACAACGTAAAGGTGGAACTAAAAAAAGAAATAAGGGAGCTTGGGCTGCATTCGGGCCACTCAAAGAAGCCACCGACCAACTAAACCAAAGACCCAAAAGCGCGCTCATCTTGCCCACACTACTTCATAGTCCTCCCAGCCGGCAAGTGGACGAAAAGAGCTGTAGAGCGAACTCCACGGGGATGTAGGTGCTCGCTAGGACGACCACCTACATTTTGGGAGGACGTGTTCGTAATTAAAGGCAAACAGCTGTATCCGCAGCATACAGAAAAATCCGTTGCTTTACAGATCAGGGCATGAGAATCGCACCCGTCACAATGCTCGAATTAAACCACCACCATGGAAGACGATTGGGAGGCAAAGAAAAGAATGGGAAATGTGCTGGGATCCGCATAGCTCGTTAAGGCTGGCAACTCAAGTATCCAGGTATCCATATCCAAGTATCCAAGTAGGTTTATATTCTCTTTTGTTGCAGTTTCGTCGGCTACCCCCATGAATTACGATAACCGTAGTGACATTGGAAAGAAATTTTAAGACAGCATCATACGTGAGTGTCTTACCTTTGTACCAAATTAGTTTATCATTTTGTTAAGACGTAATTGAATATTTTTAATCCATAAGTTGTTTAGGACAGTAAATCCAGTTCGATTATCGGCTTGATTCGGCCATCCAGTGTACGCTCATCTGATTGTCGTCAGTGAATTTTCCAGAAGACTGCGTCGTCTTCGATTTCCATGGGGCCTAATAGATCTGACAAGTTGTTTTCTTTACTAGTTATTGATCTAATTTGAGTTGGAGCCGTTTTCGTCAAAGCAGCGCATGCCAGAATCGTCCTCAGCCATTCAGCTACTAATAGCCCGATTCGCAATAGTAGCCATTTTTTATTCCTGCTTAATTCGGTCACGAAATTGTGTTGAACATGGGCATCCGCTCAGCTTTAGAACTCTGGTGTGAAGTGTGTTTATAGTTCTTAACAAACTCTTTACTTGCACGCTCTCACATAGCCAATTGCTAATAAAGGTAGGGAGGAGTATACGACAATGGGCATCACTATCGATCACTGGTTACGACCATAACGATGCTCGGTGGATGGAATTCGATCGGGAAACAGAACGGAGGAGAACAGGTCGACGACGTCTGCAGACCGTTGGGATCACAGCGGCGGCACGAGATACGAGGTGCTGCCCAACGACGTTCGTTTGCCGAACTGCAGTGGTCGGTACTCCCGTTTTCCAAACTGTAGAGGTCGGTACATATCTCTCTTGCCGAACTGAAAGTAGACATCGCTCACTCACATAGTAAATATATGAAGAAATGAAAGATGAAGATGAAAAAATGTAGTCATACAATGTTTCATGTATAAGTTTCATGCGGAGTTCATCAACGCTTTTCCTACAAAATTTACTGGTACTTACTACGCCTACAGTAAGCTTCTGCGGGGTTAAAATAACCCGAAAAAGAGTGAAAGTCTCTAAAAGTGTTGTAAGATTTTGTTTCTCATGCTTTGTTTCCTAGCCATTTAAGTGAGGAATTAGAGACGGTCCGGTTCATGCAGCCTTATTTACGAATAGAGATGACTTCCCATCTGCAGACCAAGTGCGACAAAAATTCACATTTCCTTCATCAGCAAGTTCCTATTTCGGTCACCGTTAGGTTAAGGTGATAGCACATATCAGAGCGACTAAATAGTGCAGTGATCGATACTTTAATAGAAAATAGAAATTGGATGAGATTGAAGGAAAAGGATGTATATGTTAAAAATGTTACACATTATACTTTATCTTACTTGGATACCTGGATACTTGAATGGCTCGTCTTCACTGGTTGTGCGGACCCCAGCATAATTTCCATTGCTTCGGGGTTCTGGTGGGCGTTGTGGTTCTCTGGAGTCCCTAGGTCACCCTGGCCATAGTGTGACCCAGATCATGCTTTACCTCATTGCTTTACAGTCAGAATTGTTCTGGTGGATAAGTTTAATGGGAGAAATTCAATGTCTAACCCATTCGCGACAACGTTGGGTCTTCGGAAGCTGTTGCACACTCGAAAATTTCTCGTATTGTGTGTTTGATACTCAGCAAACTTATAGAAGGAACTTGAAACTATCACTTTATGGTAAATATATAATAATTTTCTCAAGATACTGCCCTTACTTGAAAACTTATCAATTAAAAAATGGAAAGCTTCACGCAAGTGAGACGGCGAACCCACTGGCAGCCAGTACCACCGCCTTTTCGTTTGTCAGGCGCTCTCCCTTAGACGAGAACAAAGAGGAGGACGACTGAAGGTCTCCAGAGACGTCCCATTTAGCAGTGCAAATTGCAAGCGTGCTTACTTCTAGCACCGATCAGTAGAGTTCAGTAGTTTCTATCTATAGTAAAAAAGTTTACTATTGGCTAAGATATATTTGTTTGAGAGTTGAACCCTTGAAATCTAAGTTTTTCACTCTGGACGCCACGAATCGTCTTGCAAAATTTCACTCATCTTTGAGTTAGAATACCATGCATGCAGGGAAAACATAACTAATGGTGTTTACATTGTCAAAAAATTACGAAGTAGAGCGAAATTACGGATGTGTCATTGTCGCGATGTTCAAAATTTCAGGTGTGCTTCATTCCAAAGTTTCAACCCATCAAGTCGTTCAGTTGCTTAAAAATCATTCGTCTACCATCAAAAAACCATGAGGCATGTAAAGACTGAAAATTAGACGTCCCATGCGGTGGGAAGCGAAATTTGGCGTCATCGTGAACAGATCAGTCTCATTTCAGCTCACATTATACAACTCGTCATTGACGATGATCTGTTCATCGTTAAATTTGAGGATAACGGATTTCTGGAAAGCTGCTTTTATGACGGAATACAATAGCACTTCAATCAAGTAAGCCGGCTGCGCCACTGCTGGCCCCGGCAGCTGAGCCATGGCCTCCAATCAGATGCGGAAATGGAGGCACGAGAACCGTGGGCAAATGCAAGCCATCGCACTAACCGTACTTCCCGTTGAGGGTGGATGCCAGGAGGAGAAATCAGGAACTATGTAAAGCCACTGGACTTCCTTTCGTAATCTTTTAAAATTGTCGTATTTATCCTGCGAAGGATATAATGCTGACAGAATGGTGGAGCCCGCCTTACGAGCCCAGGCATTCAACTCGTATGCTGGTGTCGGCTGAAATTTCATAGGCTTAACCTTCATAAATCTTGTCTGTTCTATTAGATATAACAATAATGCAGTAATACTTGATTTCGCATGAAGAGACTAAGTTAACGTCAACATCTGGACGTCGGTGTGTTGGTATTAATATGCATGGAGCTGAAGTGGACAGCGTCTGTTATGAAACTAGTTCCAGTCAAAACCCGCCTTTTTTACAAAAGAAAAAAAACACGGTTTTGTTTGGGGAAATCTCAGCTTTTAATGTGCGAAAGCCATTGAAAATGCAGCGAATGCGTGAGTGTGTCCATCAATCTTTGCTCCCGTGCCAAAACAATCTCCTATTTATTAGACATCGCGAGACTCCTTATGTTCGATGAGAAGTGAAAATTTCCCAGAAGAGATTTCCAAAATTTCGGAATTTTTCCAAGTTTCCGATTTTTGTGTGGGCATCTTTTTTCCAATATTTTCTGAAATTTTTGTTATTTCATATTGTAAATTCCTTCAACCACTTTCGGTTCTAACAAGCAGTTCGAATATGATGAAGCCATAAGTGACGGTAGTAAACGGAAAGCAGGAAAATGGAATCATCTAGGAAAATTGCTTTTAGCATGTTCTGGACAGCGAACAGCCCTTCGAATTTTCGACAACGGACCTTAATTTATGGTTCGTACCAAGTTTTCTGTCTTTCTCTTCTACCATGAAGTGTTTTTTGTAGGGTTCTCTGCCAAATTTATTTTCTCCCGCTTCAAGCATTTCCTCCCCAGTGGTTCTTCACACTGATTGGACCGTTGACGGGAGATGGTTTTGCTGATCCTGAGATGCCAAATATTTTGAATGAATTAAAATGGCAGTATGTTGGTTTTACTTGAAAATGTGCTTTGGGTTGAATTTGTCCCGAAGATGGAATAGAGTATCATTATCCTAGGTAGTTAATTCCTGTGTCGCTACAAATTCTGCAAATTTACTTTGCATAAAACTGAAATAAATCTCAGCTATCGAAATAAATTATTTCCGGAGTACTCGTAGACATTTGAAGTACTTCTTTTCTTGTGTCCCTTGTTTAGATAATGAACATCGCTTGCAAGCAGCTGCAGATGTGAAATGCGTCGAATGTTTGGCTGAATAAGAACTGCAAAGATAGTGTCGTTCACATAGCGCATGGGTTAGGCCGAATGGAAGATGAATAGGGCTAGATCGTTTCCAAAGAGAAACGGGAGGAACGGCGTAGTGACTCTTCGAACAAACTTGTGAAATCACTCAGAATTCAAGTCCACCTTACTACTTTTCTTATGTTGTTCGCTTTTATCAATGTTTTACTAACAATTTTTGCGGAAAACAACTTTTTACTGTAAAGAACTGACAAATAGTTTCGTTCATGGGAAGGTCATAAGCCTGAAGGTATTCAGGTCTTCTCCACTTTAAAGTACCATTGAAGAAGAAAAAATGCGAGAGAAATTCACTGGCGAAGCGTAGGCTATTTTGAACCCTCTAGTATTATAGCAATAGGTTTCTGCTGTTGATGATGCGAAGAGAAATTGCCCATTAGTTGTTCTTTAAGTCCAATCTAGTTGATTACGGAGTATGCATAAGCATTTGTTCATTCTCCCTAAACAAGAATTGTTGATGAGCAACTGTGGTACTTCCAGGACACTGTGGAATTATTCGAAGCAGCTCCAAATTTTTTATATAAGTTTTCTTCTACGAGAACTTTAATCTACTGGTAAAGACCCCGTTAGATAAAAACGAGAGTATGGATAAAGTTATCTGCAGTGACGCAGTGTTCTTGAAGGATCGGATACCCTTTGGCAGAACTACGAGTGAGCAACCCAATTTTTATGGCATTAATGGACTAATTCGATGAATACGATGAAAAAAAGGTTTTGAGGTTTTCCAGATGAAAAATTCTTAGCAAACAACGTTGCACTAGTTTCAAGTTGACGAAATTAGGATGTGGATCTGCTCTAAATGAAAACTAAAAAACAGCTTGGATCGATTTGGGATAAATGCAATTTTCATGGCAAAATGAGGTAAGAAGAATAGATTTCATGGCGTGCAGAAATGTTACAGCGCTACGTCATTATATTCATACTACGGTCATAAATTTACTTTGCCAATGAGTGTAAGCTGGGGCAATTTGAATTTCTATTAACGCCAGACTGTTTTATGGTTTGGAAACCACAGGGGTAGAGGTCTTTTCCTAGTGTTCGGTGTAGAGTGAGGGCTGTGTAACGTGAGCTGAACCAAAGATTTTCGTTTAGGAAACAACTGAAGTGGCAACATGAAGGTTTTCTTCATTCATCAAACCGTCACTCAAGTCGATATATTTCATTACGATCACTTTGTCATTGATATTCTGTCATGTGGCAAAATCGTTAGCTTTTCTAGAAATTGACCTCATTAGAATGGAATAGCGATAATGGGAGGACCGCTCTATTTTCTAAGGTGTAGTAGGAACCATGGCGTAAGGAAAAGAAATTTCCAAACATTCAGAAGTGGTGTGAGTGCCACACGCGCTAATTCTTCTTGTTTATTTTGGACGCTGTGAAGACTTATTGGGTACCACAACCTTATTAAATCTATTTAATGAAATTATTGAAGACCTCTTCTGAATTAGGCGGACGGACGGTCAGAAGTCAACGAATCGAACAGCTCCTAGTAGATTCCTGATGAGTCCGCTTCGTCACAAGACTTGTATAACAACGAAGATTAAAACGAATAAAATTGTCACCGACGAAATATACGTGGCTCTACATATGTCAAGAAAAGCCATTAGAAGAGTGGGATTTATTATCTCAAGCAGTTCAGCCGAGCTACAAATCATGTCGTACCGATGAGCTCTTCTGAAAAAGTAGCACATAACGTGTAACGGGAAATTTCAGTTCGCGCGCTATATTCGCCCTGCTACTTTCTATTCGAGAGAAAATCCCTAGAGATTTTGCTAATGAACATGCCGACGAGGACCAAGATGTCAAATGTTGTGCCTCCTCTACAGATCTCACAGTTATCGTAGACCATTGAAAATGTGGACAGAGATGGGCAAAAGGTTAACGTAATCGGGAGACTTGAATATAAGCCGAATAGTGGAAGGAGTAGCACTGACTATGATTTCAGCACATTAAATCCCTACAAATCCTGGCCTACGGTAGAAATTCACAAACAAGCATTTTTTGGGACCTTTAACGACATTCTGTGAAATCCACCTCATTTACCGAACGAATCTAATAGTATCCTCTCAGGGAGGTAGGAAGAGATTCGAAACTTGCGATTTAAAACTTTTTTTAAAGAGAATCGTCAGAAAGCAACTCGCATCGCTCTATTCAAAAGTGCCAAATTTAAGAATTGCATTCGACCTCTTAGTCATTTCTGCAGCTTCATCATTACATTAACGTTTTACCACAATTTCATTCACAAAACGAGTATGCACTGAGCTTATAACGCTAATTACTGGAGGCATTCGATGAGGAAAGCACTTTGTTAAGAGATGAGCTTGCTAACAGTCCACGAATTTCGTGGGAAGAAGGGCTTGTTTGACCTGTTACGAGTACAGCGTTACACTTCTCCACTCCCTAGGTGTTTGCCGTTAATTAAGGAAAATTCAAGTTCATTGAATTGTTGGCTTTGAATAATCGTTCTTGTGAAGTGAAAATGTCGCAAATTGGTATTTGTTCATCCGGCAGAACTTCAGCTGGATCCTCTTCTTCCCAATTTTTTAAACTCTGAGATAGGATTATATAGTGTTGTGTTTCATTTCTTTAGAGAATGAAAACGCAGAAGGCTAAAGCGAAAGACGCCTTTCTCTTCTTGTCCAATAATTTAGGAAATGTTTAAGACACAAATACTCTATGGAAGGTTGCCACCTAGCCACTAGTCTCTTTCAGAACAAAACCAATGGATGACATAAGTTTATTCTTGACCGAGTTTGTGCGTGGAAATGTCAAAACTGTTTACAATCTGAATGACCTCAATGGAGAAGAACCTGTGCTGTGCATCGCACGCACTTTGTAACCTGAACCTCGTTACACCAGTGAGAGATAAGTGGCGAATGAGGACAAGCCATCCATCGACATGGGAGTGTAAAAGGAATTAGAACGGTAATTTCTGAATGGATTTTCATACTTAATTAGGGATTTTATGGAAACACATATGCTCTAAATCATATAAAAGAGTAGTTTGCCGTTTATAGCGATTATCTACGAAATTCGAGCGCTCCCACGCGCTCGTTCATCTGCTGTTGCTTGCTAGAAAACGAGGAGCGGCTCACCTGCAGGGGGCGATAGTCGCGGTCCTGCCGGTCGAACGTCGGCGACTGTGCATCTGTCGAAGCGAGGACCGAGCACGCCAGTGCCAGAAGGAACACGGAGAGAATCATGATGTGCTCCAAAATACGTAGCATGCGCTTATATACTGAAAAGATCCCGCCCACTCTGCCCTCCCCCGGTGACCTGACCTCACTTCAAGCTCACTAATCCTAGGGTAGCAGGTGCAGATTGTGATGAATTTCCAGTCGTATCCACTTGTGAAATGTCATTAAGTCCAATGGAAAATGCAGTGAATCCATAAATAAAATATGCAGAAAGTATGGTTAACTGAGCTTCAACATTTCAAAACCGACTTTTCTTTAACCTCGGTGTAACTAATCAACATAGGTTCTTTCCTTGATAAACTTACACAAGGTTGATAAATAATGCATATTCGGCTACCGTCTCGACGTTTTCGTCTTCAGCAGATGATTCGAGTAGATGCTCCACAGTTGTTCGTCTTCTCAATATAGCGCCTTTGTCTTCGCACCCAGGCGGATCTTCTTCAGTGAAGCATCTCTCGAATGAGACATTCTCGCTCGGCGACGCTCTTTTATGTGGGATACTGGATGTTGATAACAGTGCTTGTCCGGTGATAACGAAATGCTTTTTTCCAGACAATCCACTCCGCATAAGTCAGTATCATTATCAGCTAGCAAAGAGCATAATAATATTAATAGACGTCCAAATGCTAGCCGAATAAAGATTGTTTATCAACCTTATGTAACTTTATCAGGGAAGGATAACATGCTAACTGGGCTTCATTTGAAGCGCATAAGCCAGGGCTCTCTAACTGATGCTCTTACATCAACAATTCATTTTCATTTCCGTATTTACTTGAAAAATGTAAAATTTGAAATCTAGCTAGTCTTCTATTTCAAACCTTCCTGCTCAAAGGTAAGTTTCTTTTTTCCTGATGAAATCCTGGTCTATGAAGTAACTTTTGAAAGCTGCAGTCTTTCGCAGTGCACGATGTCGATCCCTGCGAAGGAAAACCTTTGTGTGTAGTAACTCCGAAAGAAACGCTTTACATATTGAAAAGGATAAGGATAAACACAGGATAAAGCCCCGGCGTTGATCAATCCCTGAGGGATCCGCCATGCATTCGGCTTCATTAAGCATCGTCTGAAGGTGACAGAATGCTCATCTGGCCTTCACAATAACTTGCGGTGGCCTACCGGTGTTTCGAGACAGTGCTGCTATCCTCCCAGAGAAGTCTGGTACCAATTTGCCGACCCCGGAGAGATGGAAGGCTCGGCAAGCCACAGACGCGGGGATGGATCCCATGTGTGTATTGCAGGGCGCCTCCGACCACTGCACTACACGCCTCCATTCCGTATCGCAAGATAGACGAAAATAAATAGTAACTCCAAAGTCCGACTTTCTATTAACCTCGGTATTGGCATTAACAGAGATACTGCTCCAACCTCACTGAAATACAAAAACGTGGTATGCGGGAGGTACGAGAGTTGATAAGATCGAAAAACATAAGACTATCGGTTAGTGATAAGGGCGGAGAGTTCGTTGTAATTCCCCGTCAGTTAGATATTGAGATAACGGAAAAGCACCCTGAAGAGGCTTCCCTTTATCGTCTGTCGTCTGAGAAGGAATTTAGAAGTCAATACCGAAAGTTAAACTACGAGTGGGTTAAAGTGGCAAGAGCGGCTGGGTTAAAACCATCAGTTATCTCTCATCTCAAAATTGACTTACCAACATGTCCCATCCTGTACTTACTTATCAAAACCCATAAGTTAGTATCCAGCGATGATCTCACGTCTACCAATCCATCGTTATTTAAGGTTAGAACTATCATTAGCTGCATGGACGGGCCAACGGATAGAATAACGTGGTTAATAACCCTAATACTTACTCAGTTTTTGAAGTACATTCCAGCTCATCTAACGAACACCCAAATGTTCCTGGATCGTCTACGTAACGCTCGACCCAACAGCATGTACGTGGTGGAGTCTTTCGACGTCACTGCCCTATATACGTCGAATGACTCCGTTATGTAAGCCATCCGTGAGCTTCTTATGCAACACGAAGGAGCAATAAACATGTACGGCTTCTCGATTCAGCAGTTGATGACACTCTTAAAGGAGTGCCTAGACTGCTCAATCCTCAGATGGTCCGGGAGGTATTACGCACAAATGAGAGTGCTGGCAATGGGACAACGACTGGCACCAAGCCTTACCATTGCATTCATGTCTAAGGTGGAAGCGCCAGTAACCGACCTCGATCCGTTACTCTACTGTAGATATATAGATGACTGCTTGGTCATTTGTCCAACACAAGAAGAAATTGACAGATGTTTTGAGTTGTTGAACACACAGTCAGAGTATATTAAATTCACCCTCGAGAAACCAAAAGAAAACCGGCTTCCATTTCTGAACGTGAAAATAAACCTACCAGAAAACGGGTACACTACGAAATGGTATCGAAAGCCAAGAAGCAAAAATATCTTGGTTCATTACCTCTCCTCTCATCCCTCTCACACGAAAAGAGTGCTTGTGAGATACATGTTTCGAACAGCTACCAGCACGTGCATACGAAGACAACAAAGAAAGGAGTCCCGGAACTTGGCGCGGCAAATAGCCATTTTTAATGGCTACGAAACTGTTGCTCGAGATAGGTGTAGGGGAAACCAAAGGTACCCCAACGATAACTCTAGCGACAATAAGGTCCCGTTCATACTGCTCTTCATTTCAAATGAAGTAAGTGCAGCTATAAAACGCTGTTTAAGAAGGGCCAGTCTAGAGAATTCGGTAACGATAATTGAAATACCACCGAGTAATCTAAGACGCCAGCTAGTTCGTAACCGCCTATACGACCGTCTATGTGCAACGCAAAACTGCATAATTTGCCCCAATGGTAGAGACGGTGACTGCATGAGTTCGGGTACAGTCTATCTGATCTCTTGTAAAGCGTGCGGGGACGAATACGTTGGCGAAACGGGTCGACCACTCTGCGTACGTATAAAAGAACACCTAGTTGGCAAACGTAAACCAAATACTCCACTAGGCACGCATAGGACGCAGAGACATAATGGAGAAGATTTTGAAGTAGGGGTTACGATCCTCGCGCAAAACTCTAGAGGCATTCTGGATTAATTCCAAGAATCCGGAAATGAACCGCAGGGAGGAATGCCTCATTATCACGCGTGATATTGGGCAGTATATAAGCCTGATGAGATGGGCACAATACGACCCCGTGTGAACTCTCTGCGGTTGGTCTCCACGTGACATATTTAGTGGAAGACTCATAGAAAGCGGCGGGTGTGCAAAGACCCTGTGTTCAATGTGATTGAAATTTTGGTTTAGCATTTTCTCTGTTTGGTTATGGAGGTGTTTGGCCGTGTGGATTGTAGTCAACTTGACCTTTCCAGGCTCTGAGGAAGGCGAAATCCGCCGAAACGTCAGCTTGTACGTAAATAAAGGAATAAAGTAACACCTCGTGTTTGCTGAACAGAAGTAGGAAAAATAAATAGTGTTAGGTATTAGCTCAAGGGATAAAGTGGCATTGGTCTAAAATTTAATTTACTTCTACTCATACGGAGTTATAAAACTTCACCGGCTACAGCTTGCTTGCGATACCGATAAAGGACTATTCCGCAGAACAGATGGTTGGGAAGGCCTGATAGAGTTGGTGTCCTCGTCAACTTGTTTGGATGTAAGCATCGATTTCTTTAACAACTACTGACTTAAATCGGATATTAGCAGTTCAAAAGATGTATTTGAGAGCTGGATTAAACTATCTTCATCACTTGTGCACCAATGTGAACCTACAATGGAAATAAGCCCGCGAAATTAGTGGATTCGAAGAGGTTCCTTAGAGAACGTGAAATCTCCATATAGAAGATGTTTCGAAGTCGACTCAAACATGTAATTTCTCGGTTTATTTTTTTTTTTTTTGGAAAGTCTGGCAATGCATTCATTAGTATACCCAGCCCCTATGCTGTTATGTTGCAAAATCTCAAAGCCATTCTAGGACGAGTAAATCTGAGAGAACTATGATGACGACCTTCACTCACGTTGTACGCATGATAGAATATGATTCTTCTACTCAGAGACTGAAGGTGCGAGGTAAAGAAAAAGGACAAAGCTTTCTGCGATGATCGATACTCGAGAGATGCACCATACAATCGACTTCCCTAAGCATCATTGGAGGTGATTGAAAGAATATGTGACCTTTACAATGACTCGTGGTGGCCTACCGATGTATCGAGCCAGTGTTGCTATCCTCTCAGACAAGTCTGGTACCAGTTTGCTGACCCCAGGACGCCGGAGGAATGGAAGGCTTGGTGCCGTTGGAACGCGAGGATCGATCCCATGTGTATTGCATGGCGTCTCCAACCACTGGGCTACACACGCCCCTAGGTGCAAGGAAAGGAAATTCAATATCGTCCCACTGAGCTAGCTGAGAAGCGAAGACGTGGCCTTCTGGCCTATTGAATATAGTTTATGATTTTGGAAGGAGATTGCACCTAAAGTGTGAGAAAGTAGAGGATGTGGCGGTGTTGGCGTTCTCACTAAATTGAACTTTCCCATGATCCTTGATGCCTTCGAAGAAATGACGTCCCGAATCAAGAGTTCACGGTTTAAATGATGCGCTGGAACGCCTGCTTTGACAATCTCTACAGTCTTTGACTCAAAAGCTATGACGCAGACTTCACGTCGATTAGAATGTAATGAGCAAGATGAGTTGATTAGGGAGGACGAAAATGCCGTATGAGTGGTCCCCACCTTCGATGCCCGACATGCTTTCTCATGGAAAAGGAATGGTACACCATCCGCTCCGAACGTGACACGAACATACGAAAATCCTACGAACAGCCCTCATGAACATACTGGTTCGGTTAATCGCATGTTACCTTCAAGAATTCAAGGTTCCAAATCAATCGAGTACATGTGGAACAATATTGTTGAACAAGACGTGACCTACACAGAATCCGCAATTAGCAACCAATCTGCAACCAAGGCGGCTGTCTGGGGCCTAAATCGTTTCCCACGAGTAATCTTCAAGGATTCAAGAGGATGAAGACAATCACGTGAGCAAGTAAGGTTTCGAAAAGGATTCAGAACGATGGACAGCATACACACAATAATGAAAGTAATTCAATTCAAGGCGTCGAAACGCTAGCCGAAATAAACATCATTTTAAACCTCGTGTAAGCTCAACAATTTAAAAGTATGTCTATTTGATGCAGATGAAGAAGTCAAATGATGAGAATCAAGCCAAGAGCCGAGTGGAAGGTAAAGAACAGTTTGGATGGCTTAAAAGTGGATAGAGAACGTCCTAAAGAAGTCGATGAGCACTCCGTTCTGTTCCAACCTTTTCGGCTTCTCCACTTTTACCAACCTTGCGCAAGCTTCGGAGAATTAGAAGCTTCTCGAGCAGAATGGAAGATAAATCAGCTTCATAGAAGGCAGTGCCGGCAATGTGATTCCAGGCGTATTTCTTATCACGCTAGTGAAATAGGTAGTCCTGTGTTGGGTGCGACGACGATGACCACCGTAATGAAGGAAACTCACGCACACGTCAGATCTTGGATGTGAGGTAGGGCAGCATACATCATAAGTTGGAGCGACAGCGATGGGGTTGGAATTGTCGGTGTGCAGTTTTCACTTATCGTCAAGCATACAGATTTACCACCGCCTGGATGGTCAGCTTTGCGAAAACTCTCATCAACAAGCATTATACTCCTCGTGTGCATTCAAGACCAATCTCTCCTGAATTGCAAGCTAACACTCAGAAATAACTCGTAAACCATAATAATGCTGAGATAATTGCAAAACTCCGGACCGCATGTGTCTGCGGTGGGAAACGAACGCGCTATTACCCTTTCCGAGGGCTAACGCGTTCACCACACCATGCAGGTCCTTCGTTTCGCCTGTCTCTCAGCTAGTTCTATCGATCAGTACCATCAACACCTGCCGTGAAAATTTCTAGTAGGAAGTAAATAACGTTAAAATTGTAACTCGTAAATATTCTCTATAATTGCTGTGAAAAACTAGTCGTCAACTAGGTGCAGCAGCCACACGGATTTAAGCATTCAACTCGAAATATAACAACGCTACTCTACTGTTCGGATGCAAAAATCCATTTATAGTCAGGAAAACTGCAGTTGCCTGCTTTTCACAAAAAACTGAAGTTTTTCTAACTAGCAGTAGATTACTGCCTTATTACAATTGGAAGTAACCCGGAAAAGCAAAGTAGGAGTTTCAATAGATACGAGAAGGATCGTGATTTCGTATGTGTCCAGTTCCTCACTGAGTTATAGCTTCATTCCATTTTGCTAAACCTACTAAGTAAATAATTTTCTGCTAGACGGTAGCCGAATAAACATCCCCATCAACCTCGTTTAAGCTCAACAATACAAACTCATGCTGATCTGTAAATAATCTTTTGCTAATCTCAAATTTGATTCTCCGTAACACTTCAACGCTCATGGAAACACTTCAGCAACCCTAATTTTTTAATGGCAAGTTTTTTTTCACTGTCACCTTAGGGTTACTACAATATTTCACCTTAGGCTGCTATATGAAATTCAATCACAGTGATGCTGAGATAATCTTAACCATTATTTATTTACTGCCTTTTCTTTTTAATGGCAGGGTATGTTGCGAAATATAACTTCTATAATGCTGAGATATTTGCAAAACTCAAGACCGGATGTGACTGTGGTGGGGATCGAACCCGCTATTGCCTTTTCCGGCGCCCACGTGTAGTCATTGTAGATTGTAAAATTGTAGTAGGCACTAAATAAAAAAGTAAACATTGTGACTTCGACAACATCCTCAGCTTAAAGGATAAGGCTCTCGGCGTTGATCAATCTCCGAGTGATGTACCATGCATTCGACATCATTAAGCATCGTCGTTTGGAGCTGATTGAATGCATATTTGGTCTTTACAATGACTCGCGGCGGCCTACCGATGTATCCAGTGCTGCTATCCTCGCAGACAGTCTGGTAGCAATTCGCTGACCCCGGAGGGATGGAAGTTTTGCTGAGCCACGGGAGCGGGGATCGATCCCAGTGTGTGTTACAAGGGCTCCTCCGACCTCTGCGCCACAAGCCCCTTCGCCCCAGCTTAATTGGGTTTGGTGCTCATTAGTGTACCCCAGCTTAATCCCGTTGCAGGTGATTGCTGATAGCACTGTTGGATAGAAAATCAGCTGGGAGAAGGGCAGAATGAAGGAGACGCATGGTGTGGTGCTTAACACGTCAACCCTCAGAAAAGTTCGATCTCCACTGCAGACACCACAATTTTTACTTCTTTCCACGGATCCCCTTATACAGAGCTCTTACCCCGGTTAGTCGTGAGGAAACGTAGCGCACCCAAAGTGGTGGGCAGAGGTTTAATCGCGAACCAAAAGCGACCCTTGTTTCCTTGGGGCGGAGGTGGTTGCAGGAGATGGACGTTCTGTTTCTGTGCTCCAATTTGGAACACACTTTCAGTATTTACGAGGAAAACATATTCATTGCGTGCGTGGGTGTATTCTCGTCTGTGCAGAATGTATTCTACGATCCAATTCGGGCAAAGCTTGCAATCAAGTGGCGGGGAGCTACATAGGAGGCGCTCTCGCCAACACGAGTTTGTCCATAAACACCGACTCATTGGAACAACTAACAACATGGATTCGACGTTTAAGGTTGAAGAGATCAATACCGGCTTTGATAATCTTCGTCGTTTATGCATTTTCATCAAGCTATGGCGAAGACGAAGTCGAAGCACTCCTTATGAACTGGAGAAGCAGTACAGAAAAGAACATGTATTCTTCAAGGTCTTTAGTGGAAATCTTAACGTTACAACTGGGTACAGAAGAACGTGTGAAGAACGTTGAAACCCACGAATTAGAATGGAACGTGAAGGACGAGCGGCTGTTTGAGTTTACCATGACCATCAAGACCATTCATGGTAACTTGCAATTCCAGAATCCCTACCCTCAACGATGAAAGTGGGAGTCTCCCAATGGAGAGTACCGTAACGAAATAGACCACATCATAGTAAATTGAATACTGACTGAATTCATGGGATGTCCAGCATATTGCAGGAGGTCTGACGAACGAATGGTTAGAGTTCTTCACGAAAACCTTACAAAAAAGGTATGATACTCAAAGAGTCCCTAGAGGGAGGAGGATCCACTGGTCTACTCTTGCATGCGAAGGAGAAAATGGAAGATTTACTGGTGCCCGCTCGGATCACACCACAATCAACACGTGAGGTGAATTTCTTACTATTATTTAAAGGCTGGAAAAAACATCTGAAAGAAATTAAAAGTTTCGACAAAACGACTTAACTTTGAGCTAGGCAAAAATGACAGAGCTATCTGAGAATTCTCGAGGCTTTTTGGATAAATGCCAAGAACACGGGAATGAATAGCAGGAAAAAGAATGCCCAGAGATAACAGGTAATCTACCCCGTATCTCGGAAATGATTTTTGATGTGGGGTGGTACAGTCGTCAACCATATGCGACTTTGAGCGCCTGTTCTTCCTCGGTGGAAGACAGGTGAAAAAAGCGGTGTTTTTCGGGAAGCCGGTGATCCTGCTGTAATTGTCTTCCAGACTTTGATCTTTCTGTTTGTGCTGTTGAAACGTTTGACCTAATAAGTTACGTATTAGTGCACCCTTCCAGGATTGTAGATGTCGATATCTTGACGAGACCGTAATCTTTGTATCCACTATTATTCCACTCAAGTGTCCACAAGATATCGATAGAACCAGTTGAGAGAAAGGCGAAACGAAGGACCCGGATGGTGTGGTGGTGAACGCGTTAGCCCCTGGAAAGGGTAATAGCGCGTTCGTTCCCTACCTCAGACACTTACGAACCGGAGTTTTGCAAATATCTCAGTATCATTGTGGTTGTATTTCGCATAATACCATGTCGTGAAAATTGTGGTAGGCAGTAAATAAAAGGTTAACATTGTGTGTCCGCAAGATAGTCATTCTCTGTTCTTTTACTCGGAGCAGGTAGCGCAATGGCAGTGATTTCGTCTTCTATCGATCAGACAGCTTAACCTAGCCAGGTTCCAGTTCTACACCGCTCCGGGTCGAAGAAGGCTTTCATCATCCTTGCGGAGTCGGGGAATCAATACAATTTGTTTGAGAGCTCAATCCATTTAATCTACGTGGAAATTAGACGGTTATCCCAGAATCTCATCAAGGCTCAACTCGAGCAGCATCGAACGACATTCGACATTCAAACATGTGATGTCAGATCATATAACAAATAACAAGTAGAAATCTGTCTCTTCGGAATCAGACACGTCCCATAAAACAGAGTGAAACGCCCCACAGGCATTGTCGGCCTGACATTGGCCACAATAAACACCCAGAGCAGATTTGTCTGCGATGATGTGCCAAACAACTAAAACCCAGGTCGTGAAAACCAGGTGTGCATGAATGCAGTTGCCGAACCGTGAACATCCTTCAGCGTCAATCTCGGTGTGCTGTACGCAATGCCCAAGGTTGCGAACTGCCCACGAGACATTTTTTATAGACTCATCGATTCAGCTCTTGAGACCCGTGAGACGTCTCTTCGGTCAAATTCTCCGGCGCAGACAAGTTATCCCTGGCTCATTTAGGCCTGTTCTTTCCTTGCTACTCTCTTGTAGCCTGTAATTAGTCTTTCCCTTACGAATATTCAGTTCCTCCCCGTTTTAGCGTCCATATTCCTTTTTGGTTTTACTATTTTTTCTTACTTTCTTTGCAGTTGTTGTTAGTTCATATCGAAAGTAAGTCTCCATATTTGAATTGCCATGGATATGGACGGCATGACGGACAGTGAAATCCGCCAGGTTAGCTGGTTTTCCTTTCGTAGATGGAAGCTGTTTTGTCTCCTAAATTTTAGTGTTTTCACTTAAATTGGTAGAGTTCAGTGTGACTTGAGATATGCTTATTTAAATCCCAAAAGTCGAGACTACTGTTGGGCAACTGCGCATTGGAATGAATGGGCATTATCGTAGATGTTTAAGGAGATAGTCCCAGTCAGAACTTAGATTTTCTTTCTTTCGTACAACGCTCAATGTCTTGAAATATTCAAATGCAAAAATCAGCTGAAGTACAGCCTGATCCATGCACAGTTTGTATGGATGAACTCTTCTGCGTGATGGGTGCACGGCCATTTAAATCTGCTTAACAAACGGCGTTATGAGGACATTGGTTTACATACGTTGACGTTCCATAATACAACCTTTCACAGTACCATTAACATTAGGGACAGTATATACGCTACAGTGGGTAGGTGTAGCGCAGTGGTCAGAGGCGCCCTGCAATGGACTTGTGATCGATCACTGCGGTCAGGCTCACCAAACCTTCCATCCCTCCGAGGTCGGCAAATTGGTGCCAGACCGGTGTGGGAGCATAACAGCACTGGCTCGGTATATCGATAGGGTACCACGAGTCATTTAAAGGCCAAATATGCATCCAGTCACCTCCATCGATGCTTGACGAAGTTGAATGCATGGCGCATCTTTGAGGGATAGAACAACACCGAGAGCTTTATCCTTTTTATTCTTTTGTGTACACCGCAGTACCCATACGTGGCGGCGCAAGTGAATGATATGTTCACTATAGTATGGATTTTTAGTTTGGATAGTTCCAGAACTTTTTTTTACCAGCGTATGTTCATTCGGTAGCTAACGGAAAGCAGGTCAAGGTACGAACGGTGAAGTCAAAGGCATTCTCTGCACTTAATGATTTACAAAAAAATTGTTTAAGTTGATTTTTGTATGGAATGAATGGTTACAAAAATACCAAAATATACTCATATCAAGTTGCTAAACTCTTGTAAATGTTAAGCGCAATTTGTTCGCATTACGGGCCTTAGTTACATACAATAAATAATGGCGCAAATAGCGTTTGCACTTGTAGAACGATAGAGGAAAGGCTTTTCTACAATCTTTTCGTGTTCTTAACCCTTCAAGACCTCTAGTTATTGAAGAGTTATTTCTTTATTGTGAAAAAACGAGCAGGTACGTAAAGCCTGAAAATTGCCGTCGCCTCATGTGGTGGAGCGCAAAATTAGGCATCGCCGTCAACGCATTAAAAGGCTTATGCATATCCATAGTTTTTTTATGCCTCCTCCCCCGCCCTGTCATGGAATAACTGTTTTTTCGTCAAGCGTGGTGAGCGCATGTTGTTCGCTCTGAACGGAAATGATCACTCTTATTTCCTTTTCTTTGTCTCTAAAATTCAGTTTTCTCACTTATTTTCTGCTTATTTCTGTGGATTTTACGTTTTACATAGATCTCATAGCTCTATAACTAACGGATAATTAGTACGCGAGTTTATTCGGCCAGGAGACTTATCAAGATGAAAACCCATCAGAGTGGCACATGCAATAAGAATGGAGAAGAACTTTCCAATCCAGTTCTTCAGCGGAAGCTGAGTAAAACGTAACTAGATGTTCAAAGGCTTAAGAGCTGTATTTCTTACGGTGTGGAAACAAAACGACATTACTGTGATGTCCATGACACATAGCATAACCCTCTCTGTCAAGCCCTCAGTCACGGAGTGTGCTGAAGCGTTTGATAGCTGAGTGTAAGGTTCAAGCGTATTTCGTCGTATTCGAGTAAATAGAGTGTCTTCATCTCGATTTATTCATGTCTCGAGGCCAACTTCATAGTCAAAAAAGCGTACATGGTATTTTAACTGTTGTAAGATATAAGCAAAGTATCATGGCCGCAGATGTGTAGAAAAAAATATCAAGCAAATCAGCACTAGGTTCAATCATTGCCGCAACATTGTTGTCTGGAAAGTTGCAATACCTACTTGGGTACTTGAATGGCCCGTCTTCATTAGTTGTGACGGTCCCAGCATGATTTCCACTGTTTCGGACTTTTGATAATTTAGCCATTGTGGATTCCTAGAGTTGCGAGGTCAGCCTAGCCAAAGTCTGCCCTATGTTGCAATAATGGACAATTATTTAAGGTTTTATGTATTTGAAAAGGTAGACTGTATGTAAAGTCTTCTAAATCGTAAAGATAAGATTGGAGCATGTTTGTAAACTGTGTGTAAGAAGTGAACATTATAGAGGTCAATCGTGATGGATGTTATCCCCTCAGGAACTTAAATCACACGGACCAGCTCTTTCGGAGGTGGTTTTCTGTAAATTATTAGGCATAGGCGTAAATTTCCGCCGGCTACAGCTGGTAGAACATCTGTGTCTGGTGAGCTATCGAATTATTTCGGAAGCTTTTTAAGGAAACTATTCGGGGAGTAGTTACTATAAGTAGGGAACATTTCTTAGTCGTACGAAGGCGATGTTTCCTTAGATGAGTTTTCCATTTTAAGTGTTTGCTTCCTTTTTGCAACAGTTTCCGAAGTTCACCATCAGACGCTAAGCAATGAAAACTTCTAAGCGCCAGTGGTACACAAAGCGCATGTGTGTAGGTTTTCTTGATCTATGTGTGAGAGCAGTTCCATTTGTGCAACACAGAGTGATGTTTTGTATAGCCTTATTCCTTCTTCCTTCGTTCCTTGCGTAGATGTTAACTCTTTCACACTGCGCCTCATTGGAGATCAACTGAGATGCACATTGAAATGAAGACGTACGGTCCGTGAGTTCGCGTAAGAGATACAATGCACTGTGTGGTTTTCTGAGATTGTTGTCCTGTTCGCTTCCCTCGCACTTTTTCAAAACTGCCTTGAAATTGTACTTTATAATTAGGTTATGTACTGAACTTCGTTTTACGTTTAGTTCATTCATTTCAGCAACTTATTGCTTTGGGTCAAAATGTAGGGCCAGTAACGCCAAGTACAAGAGCTATCCACTTAAAGAAACTTCGCAACCTATTAGCACAAGGTAATTTTATCGAAGCGTAGGCTCATTCTTTGTCATTAGCTACCTCCTTGTTGCGGAAATTTATTCCTTTTCAAGGTGACGGTTCTGTTATCGAACATATTCCAATTCCAACAATTACTAACGGGAATGGAGTGCATCTTGATATAGTGAATGGGGAGCCCACAATTGAGGTTTGTTATCTAGTTGTCTTATTTGAATTTAAATTTATATTTATTTCGATATTTGAACTTTAAAGAAAAGAAAGAGTCTAGAAATGTTTCATTATTGCTTACTCTTCTATAACCAAGTTATTTAGCTTGAAAGTGGTAAAATACTCATTTCTAGGTTGAACGTTCGTTAAATCATGATCTTGCGAGCAATGTCATATTGGAGTCTTTCCATGCTCCTGAAGCTCCTCAACCGCGCTCAGAACGTCCGCCGGTTTGTTCAGTTGAAATACTAACTCTGATTTCTGAAATAGTAGCTATATAGTGTGTACTTGTAATAACGAGCGTTAGTTAGTAAATCTGGCTCCCCCGTTTTACGGATCCTCTTCTTCGATTACGCCGTACTGTTGATTTTTGAGTTTAACTAGTGGAGTTTATTCTGTCATGTAGACATATGTGAATAGAACAGTATGGAAATGTTATTCTTTATCTTTCTTAAAAATGTAAAATACAGTGAGAAAAAGCTACGGTGGCTCGTATGAAGTTCCTTAAAGTAAGCTTCTCAGGTGTTCCGAGATTCTAAAATATTTCAAACGTAAACTTTCCAAAGACCGTTCTTCATGACGCGTTGTTTTGCGGTATCCAGCGCCTATGATTTGCCGATAAATTGGTGTTAAGGCAGTTGACGACGGTTCAGATGGTGAAATGCGGGGTGAAGAGTCGGTACGATATTTGTCACCAGAGGAAATGGAGTTGGAGATGAGCTACAGTAGAAGGAACTGTAGTGGGTCTTACCGATCTCCAAATAGTGACTTTAGGAAGGTAGGATAAGATTTGTTTTGCAAAGAATTTTATTTTATACTCCGCTTCTCCACTGAAAATTGATGCGACCCTTCTCGAAAAGGCGGGGCATAAGAAGACTATGGCGTGTAGTTGGCTTTATTTTTGGTTTTTCAAGGTGTTTATATGGTGGGCTATAGTAGGTTATTAATTTCTGGTTTTTTGCCAGATTCTTTTATATACAACGCTTTTTTTGATGTTGATATGAAAAGTGATTTTACCTTCAATGTGACATCTGCTGAAGAGATAACTCAGGACCGACTTCTTGATGATAAGCGAATTATAAACTATTGTTAGTGGTCGTACGAAGGTTAAGTAGTTTGTAAATGTTTTGTTACTCATTTCTGTAGTTTTATAGACAGTCCGAATGTTAAAGCACAGCATTCGCGATTGGGTGGTTTCCTATGCATGGCATATATGCACGGACAGTTCCTTTGTTCTTTGGAGGTTGTGATTGATCTAATCACTTTTTATTTACTACCTGCTCTTTTTTTTTCTTCAGCGTAACTGGGTTCAATGCCGATTTGTGCTACCCAGAACATTCCTGTTGACGGGTGTTTGCTGATAGCACCTATAAAACACGGCTGAAAGAAGAGCGAAACGAAGAGTACGCATGGTGTGGTGGTGAAGACGTTAGCCCCCAGAGAGAGTAATAGTGGGGTTCGATCCCCGCCGCAGACACCTGTTGTCCGGAATTCTGCAAATGTCTCTGCATCATTGCACTTATTGTGGTTTCAAAGAACGACGGTCAAATTCTGGGATTCATTTACTAAGGTTGTTATAATTTCACGAATTTGCCCAAATGATTTGGACCAGATTTCCGGACGTCTGATTCATTAAACTTTAGTGGGCGGTACACCTTAAATATGTGCTTTGTTAAGCCGTCTTTAAGCCATTTACATTGTTCAGCACTAATATTACTGATTGTTAACAAGCCGAAATTTTGTCTTTTAATTTTGTGAGCGTAACATACGTGAATCAATACCAGGATCCACCACCGTCCTGGTATCAAATTAGTCGCATAGTGGCAAATCTCCCTCTGATTCGGAAGGGTCTGCGACCGCCTGTGGTGGTGACAACCTGGGGCGGACTGTCCAGGGTGACCTTGGGATTCCAGAGAACCACTATGGCAAAACCAGCAAATCTCCGAAAAAGTGGAGATTATGCTGGGGTTCGCACAACCACTGAAAATGGGCCATCCAAGTATCTACGTAGGAACGTAACATGTGTTGCACCTCACGGTGTTCTAGCGTAGGATTTAAGTCATTTTTTTCACTTTATTAGTGCGTTCATAATTGGAATTAAGGCGCTTCTCCTCCCCTCATGTACCTAGTTGCTGCTTCCTAAATTTCAAATTTCGTCTTAGTTGCAGGTTTTGTTGGTTGTTCTTCTAATGGTACTGGTAGTGTTCGTGTTCTTTCTATCGGATCGCCTGCACCGTCAGACTACTGATTCTGCCACAGACGAAGATTTGTGAACTTGCCGAACTGATTCAGCCTTCATGTTTGTTTATTTATTCCTAATAAGGCAACGATCTCGTTTGCCAACCTCTAAGTTGATACTTTATTACACCTACTTTCCTAAGCACTTGTTTTATGTCGCTATCATATGGTGCAAGTTTGTTTTCATTTATCATTTGTTGTTTTGCGCAAACGTGCTCAGAAATTTCTGAGACACTCATGTTGAATCTAATCCATTTTCCATAAACAGTTAACATCTCCCAGTCTAATATGTTGTAAATTGTAATTGTAAGAGAGTGGGAAAACGCCGCTAAATTAATCACAAAGGATGTTGTCCCTTGTTGAATTCGTTTTGTTTTTGTTTCATTCGTGGATAATAATGGTTGGCGGTATTTCTGTGTGTACATACGTCAGAACTCTTGGTTTTTCTTCTTTTCCCATTTCTTTTGCTTTCTAGTTTTTTTATTTTGCTTTTGGTTTCCATGACTCAACATAGCACATAATGTGGATTCCAACACTTGCTGCATTAAATTCGTCCCCTCACATCCGTCATCCATGTCCTGAAGGGTTTCTGGTCGTTTCTATATACGCGATAAGGGTGGTTGAGTCAATTAAACCTGACATAGTCGTGCGAGTGTATTCCCAATTCCTCATCGCAAGCAGACGTCATCTATGGATTGGAGAAAGCGATTCGCTAGCCAGGGGTGGGGATGTACGGCCTGGTTAGCACAACGTGGCGTCGAACCAGTAGTTTGGGCATCAGAAACGGCATCAATACTACTGTGCTACCTGCCCCCCCCAAAAGCACTATTTATATAATCACAATCTTAACTCTTATTTACTGCCTTTTTCTTCTTAATGGCAGGGTATGTTGTGAAATATAATTCGTATGAAATGCTGAGATATTTGCAAAACTCCGGACCACAGGTGTATGCAGTGGGGAACGAACACGCGCTGTTGTCCTTACCGGGGAGCAGCGCACTTCACCACTACACCATCCTGGTCCTTCGCTTTGCATGTATCTCAGCTAGTTCTATCTGTTTATATAAAATGGAATTTGGAAATTTACGGTAAAAGCAACACCAGCAGAGTTCTTAAGATCATTCTTAATCTAAGTAGTGCAAGTGTTACCTTCACAGCTAAGAACGGCCAAACACGAGTCACTCAAGCCTTGTCCACTTTGGAAATCGCACATTTCGATTAACGTACACGGGCCTATCCTCAGTATATAGTGGCATCTGGCCTCAATACGTGTTAACATCCACGATGATGCTTTGTTAGACCACTAAGCAGTCCCAGAGCACCACTACCAACGTGGTTTTATAGTGTCATATCATCATACATGCATTGTCCAGTGTATTCTTAAATCAGCATAGCTTCGGAGCTAACATATCCGCTATTGTGCACATTGCATCCGGCAATCGAAATTCAGTCAGTGCGCACGAAATGTTCCACCAACACTTGGAACTAGCCTTATTAAGCGATATGCGCTCTACTATCACTCAAATCTTATTACTCTACCAATAAGATTTGAACAGTAGAAATCTAGGTAAAGAAATCAATAGAGTGCACATATAGAAAACTTTGGCTCATTTATTCTTCTGTAAAACAAACAAAGTTCAATGAAATAACCATAACCACAGAACATTTACACAAAATGAGTTCAAAATTAATAAATATGAATTGAAAACTATCGAAAATATTTGATACAGCATATAAATGGTGTACTGCGTAGAAAAATTTATATAAAGGGTCGACTGGAGTGAGTCAAGAATCGGTTGCTTGTCAGGATTAGTTGGGTAGAAGCGGATGATCGTGACTAGGGATACGTCGGTATGTACAATAAGAGTTACCGATACCCATGCAGGGGAGTGCTATAAAGGTGTGCCTTGAGGGCAGGACGCTCGTAACTGATACAGCGAGAGAGCGATCAGCCGAAAAAGTGCGAAAGAAGAGAAGTATCGGAAGGGGTAAAGTGTACGCTGCGCAGCGCCATCTACAGCACTTCAGTGCAAAGCTTCCATGCGTCATTTCGACGGAATACAAAACCGTGGAGTATAGTTGGCGTATCGGACCATGAAGACCCCTAGACGGCCGCTGCGAGCAAAACTACTTAAAGAAGTAAATAGAAGATAATCAATTAGTATATGGGGCGAGATGAGCGAGGACAACGACACGACGACGCTTGGCAGCCGAGCAAGCAACAATTCCTAGGCGATTCAACGGCGGCGGCTCACGCGGGCAGTCTAGTCGACTTTTACGTCGACGCACGAACAACGGACCAACGAAAGACAAGCACCCGGTGACACGACTTGACGACGACGCGCTACACCAGATTATACTCCTTGAGATTATGCTGTAGAATCGTATCCTTTACAGCGGCAAAAACGAAACGGATGTTTTCCGTATCTGAAAACAATGATGTACAGAGAAATAAAGGCTACCGGTTTCTAATCGGGGATCACCAATTCGAACCTGTTGCGCATGTGAAGTGGGAGTAGATGATCTTGTCGGCGTCCGGGTTCAAATCGACGAACATTTTCAAAATGAATTCACGCGCAGCTATTGGATCTCGTGGTGGTCCTGTGGTCAGTTATAATAATTGCAATCGAAGTTTCTTAACTTAACTTAAATGTGTTAATTCACAAACAAAGCAATTGATTGGTACATTGGTACTCACCATCATATTCGGGAAAATAATCAGCTAAATGGGAATATAGTATTTTCTCTTCCAACAAATCCTTCTTATTCAGGAAGAGGATGACAGACGAGTTTGTGAACCATGGATATGTGATGATTGTTCTAAATAACGCCTTTGACTCTTCCATGCGATTCTGAAAAAAAACCCCTAGTGAATATGAACATCGAATTCCAATCACAAACAATCTAATGAGTAAGTCGAGTAGCTGAGCTGGAGATAATCAGTCGCTAGCACAGACCTCATTGTCGCATTCGACTAGGACTTGGTCGTATTCAGAGAGAGCGACAAGGAACATGATTGATGTAACGTTTTCAAAACAGTGAATCCACTTCCGCCGCTCAGAACGTTGTCCTCCAACGTCTACCATCCTACAGGTATTCGAAAATTTATTGTTATTAATGAAGAAGAACAATGTTTCCTTAAAGTATCCGAAAGCTATACAGATTTAAAAGTAGATGTGCAAACTCAATATTTAACATTGCTCATCTTACCCTCAAAATAAAACCTTGCTAATGACTATCAATTTTACCTAAAGATTATTTGTTCCAAATCGAAGGGATATTCTATGATACCGGTTGTTGGTACTCGCACCCGCAGAATATCTTGCTCTGTTGGTAAATAATCCGGTACTGCTAACCGTCGAAGATCTGACAGATAACTGAAAAGGTGACGAAATTAAAAACAAAAAAAACCTATGAGAATTCCTGTCAGAACGATTCCATTTAATGTCGTCAGTAGTCGATAATAGATCTTATCGCTAGGCGACTCTTCTATTACCATCATATTTCAAAATATTGGCCTAGACAAGAACCTACCAATAGGGTCATTACATAACCTCGTTTTAACATTCATTCTGAGTCGCTTTAGAAAACATCTTGAAATTTTGTTAAACGTTTCCCACTAACTACAGTCCTTCTACTCATGCAGTAGGAAAGGTTATATCAACAATAAAACGTTTCAAGGTGTAGCAGTGTAACCTCTAGGCACAGAAAATTACCTTCTACACAATAAGCTTACGATAAGTGGTAGAGATGAGTTTGTTCTTAGGCACTCACGACAGAACAAAGTAGAGAAAGTGCATATGTCTTAAGAACAACACAAGAAAAAATCCGCAAAAAAATATCAACTAAGAAATTAAGAACTGACTATTTCGCAGAGTCGGTCAGTTGGTATTCCCGTCGGCGGTCATAACATTCTTGAATACCACGGTCTTCCCACAGTTCTTTGATGTATGATACATACGGTTCCTCAAACGAAGTCACACTCTCGAAATCTACAGCACGAACGACTGCTGCCTTCTCTTGCAACTCTTCTGAGGGATCACCGAATTCGATGCCGAGCGTATCCATAGCCCGGATCATAGACTGAAAGTGACAAAACTGTTGATGGATAGGATAAAAGAGTTCTCCTAAACGAAGTATTAACTCAAGCAATGGGAACAAATTAACGCTATCCCTCAAAGATACAAAGGTCTGGGGAGGATACCTCCTAAACTAAAAATTAAATTTAAAAAAAACGTGCTTCCGTCCCTCTTGGTAGGAAGAACAATAGTCTTCTCAACATTTATCCGGGGATTATAAAGTGATTAGTAAACAACTGCCCAATTCTATTATAGCAGCCAAACGAAACAAAGTAAATTATCGAAATGAGCATAAAATTTGCCCAACAAACAGAAATTATTATATTTATATGTTCCTATGAACTGATCTCGTTGAGTGGATGCGAAGTTGGTTTAAGTTGTCCTTCTCGTTGTTGGTGACATCGTTGATCGATGGCTGACGTCTCGGCGATTTCGCCTTTCTCGGAGTCTTGCTGTTACGAGTGGGACAACTTATACCATGCACGTATAAACTCAACAAGATCAGTTCATAAGAATATATAAATAAACATACCAACTAATTATGCCGTTTATAGAAAGCCGGTATTTTGGGTTACTAAGAAGTCACTTTCCCACGCTTGCGTTCATGTGTTATACTTCCAAAAGTTTTACAAGTAAGGGTAAACAAAACTACAAATGTAAACCAAAAAAGGAATTGTACCAAATTTCTAACTACATGACGAGTCAAAATGTGCTCACTGGATTCAAAAGGAGGCACTATGAACATCCGATGGAACCAGTTATAACGGTGATGGCAGGCGTAAACATCTGGCATGGGTCTGACTATATTTGTTATAAACGACAACTTCTATCGGTGAAACGACATAGATCTTCAAAACCCTAATGTTCAGTTTACTTAAGCATAAAACCTACTGCCAAAAATCCCTACCCTATCATTAATTTAAGAAAGTCAAAAATTGTAAGAAATAGTGAAAAGCTGAGTCATTTACGCCTTACTAGAACTAGTACTACTTGGTTAGATGGGCACTACAAACAATTAAGAAAACCCTAAAGAGTCGTGAAAAAATGTACGCAATAAAAACCCACGACTAGAATCACACTTTTCTTGAGTACGATTTTACCATCAACACACGACGTAACTTACTTGTATGGCCATGAAGACATTTTGGTAAACTAGACGAATATGTGCCCGCTTATCTTCATCCGAATAACCGTTCCCGTGAATAATTCGCATCTGTTTAATGAACGTCGACTTCCCTGATTCGCCGGTACCTGAATACGCAGTTGATAAGAATTTGATCTCAATAGCGTTTGCTCGTTTTCCAGCACCTAGTACCACTTCCCTACAATTTCATTCCCTTCATTAGGTTCACCATCTCATCCCTTCGGTCTGCGAAGAAACGTTTCGGACAGAATGGAAAGGAGACGAGAACCCGACGGGCGGCAGCGCCGTGAGTCGCCTACGAATCGATCGGTGCGCGGCGTTTTGCAATTGCAGCGCGGCTGGGCAGACGGCTAGCGGACAGCGCTCCTGCCACTGCAAAGCCTCGCCAGATCTGTCCCGATCGCCGTCGCGCATTTAGACACCACTCCCCTGGCGGCTGAACACGTCGTTGCAAAGGAAGTCCAGAAAACAAACACGGACCATCAAAACCGTTCAGAACAGAATCGACTAGATCGAAAATATTATGTCAATGCATAATCAACACAACAATCTTGACAAGTAGTCGGGTAGACGTTGCCACATATGAGTAAGAAGCTCACACCTACAACATGCATAAAAGAACTTCTGAAAAAGAAAGCAACGATGTAGAGAAAGTGATCAAATTAAACAAAAACATACACCAGTAACAGAAACTGTATCATGGGACTCATTAACGCTTCTAAAAATGTAATAAATCCGATTCTGTAGCATTTATACACTATAAGCTTAATGCAATGTACTGGTTCTTTCGTTCATGTAACTACGGAGTTTCTTAAAATGATCCGCTCCAGGTCAGCACCCCACAATATCCAACAACAATGTCGTCGATTCCCACTAAAGTAGCTCCACACGTAACCTCTACAGATGAAGAAGCCTTTAGTCACTACTGTTCGACTAATACCGATCTGCTAAAGCTTAATTCGCTGCTAGTGAAAGTGCTTATGAGCTGAAGAACTCCAACCAAACATCACCAGAAAGAACCATATATAATGAACTGAGAGCTAATTACTAGAATACAGTGCAGAAGAATGAACTTGAAAGAAAATTTGACTGGTTGTCTTAAGACTAATAAATCCATTGGACAAAAGAGAGCAACAACAGGTAACAACGTCCTCAGCATTGGAAACCTTGCAAAGCAGCTCTAGACTTCTGGTACACGACGAAGCACCTCACATTAGTTCAGTTCATGAACAAGAGCAATGATCATTCATTTATAACGAAATGCCTGACATTAGCTGCTAAATAAACGCGCTACTCAGGTGTAGCTTTAGTAAAAATTTATTCCTCGCACAACCTACGATAACGAAATAGCAGGTGTCTTGCGCCAAAGAGAAAAACATACAATGGTTCTCCACACCTAAGCACAAAACGAAGGCATAACATAACATAATATATTGGGGATATTCGCTACAATCGACTAAACAGTCACATCATTTGTACCGGAATTCGTGCGAGTAAACGACATCCTTTCAATCAAAGCGATTCACTACGGATAACTTTGATATCACTACTAACAAATCATTACCCATTTAAAGACGAACGTGAACTCCACGTTAAACAAAAAAAAAAAACACTCAAATGCGAAACCACTATGATGGAAACATTAAATTAACAACTAGTTTCTAAGTTCTCAATGCGATTAACCCGATATCATAAATCGGTCCCGCCTCCACGAAAGCTTAGAGTGAGAGCGAATCGTTCACATGCATCCCTCCTTCCTTCTCATTCTAGCATATCACTAGGCTAGGAAACATGCGATTTCGCAACCATAGAGATATGAAGTACATTAGAATAAAAGAAACAATCAATCTTGTTACTATTTCATGACCCGTCAACATGTTTGCTGCGCGGATCTCAGCAGTTCTTGCATTCGATTCGTTTTCTTTGCATTCATCGTCCATAAAGATTTCCGAACATTCCACGTGTTGTCCTGGTTGCTGCTTGAGGATTTTGTATGCTTTATGAATGTCGTACAATGCTGGCTGAGTCGATTCTCCTTACAATCTTGGAAATAGCCGAAATAGGCCGCTTCTTGCCCATCAACAGTTAATACATTACCCCAATTTCCTTAACTCACCTTCATGAAACCCCTCCAATACATTTTGCTATTTAAAAGCTGTGAAAAGAAAGACCGAAAAATGAAACCACTAGAAAGTGTTATACTGTGGAAAACAGGAATGAACACAACAGTGTCTCCCAACGATTTACCTCCTCATTGTGGTTGAAGGGCGTTCCTGGCGTTGGACTGCGATATACAGCGGGCAAATCTATCCCCCCAACAGGTTATGCCAAGTTGAGGAGTCCGACGTTTCCATCAGGAAGCCAAACTAAGAGTAAACCAATATCAAGATCCACCACCATCCTGGTATAAAACTAGTCGTATGGGGGCAAATCTCCCTCTGACCCAAAACAGCGGCAAACTCCTATAGTAGTGGCGACCTGAGGCAGACTTTGACTAAGCTGACCCTGGGATTTTAGGGAACCACAATAGTTCAACCAGCAAAACTCCGAAAAAATGGAAATTATGCTGGAACGCGCAACTAGCGAGGACGGGTCATCCGACTATCTGAGTAAGGGATTTACATATACATACACGTATACAGATAAGGCTACAAGTTACAAAAAACAAAACACTAGGACCAACCCGGGTTAAAATTAGGAGTTACTCCAAAACCAGTGAAACTTAGCGGGAAACATCTAGCAAGAATACTTTAATCAACTCATGATAACAAGATTACCAAATCAGCCAATAGAGTTGCATCATCACATTTGAAGATATCCAAGCAACAAATAGGGGATTGGGTAAAAACTGAACTTGTGAAAAACTGGAACAACATTTTTGCCACAGAACTGATTTGGCATTGATTCTGTATCGGTTTAAATTCCAGCAACTCTTGAAAAATAAACGTGCTACTCTGGTAGTTCTTATAATTAATAACCCTACTTTGCGATGGCCTCATTCTCTTCAGTGAAACGCTACCATTCTTTCTTTTTCCTTTTTGATACAATTTACACAACATATGGAAGAGTACACCCCTTTTCAGTAGCCACAAAATGTTATTTCATAAATAACAAGATTGACTGCAACACGGAGACCTATCGCCTTAATACTTATAAAAGACGGAATTCGATGGAGTACACCAATTAAAAAATAGAAAATGAATTTAACCCTAACATGGTTCTAACTAACGAACAAAAAATATGCCCAAATGCCGGAACAAACCCTATAAAATGTGAAGCCGGTAGTACTAAGCAAATAAATAATTTGAATAGGTTTTAAATGCATTTCAATTATGCAACACGAAAACCCATCAGAAAGAAACCGAACGGATTTTTCAAAGAAAAAATTTGGAAAACACCAAAGAACAACGGACGCATTTCTCTTGGTTATCTATAAGTCTAATTGGAAAATCTACCTCCGATTACCCCGCTAACAAACGTGATGAGAGAAATGGTCAGGAAATGTTCAGAAACTCCATTAGCTTTTTTTTGATTAACTCAACCTGTCAATCTCATACAAGGCCTCGACCATCATACCAGCCTTTCGTTCTCTACTTCCACACCATCAACCTCTTAAGTTCAAATCAGAATATTTCAAATGAGAACTACCAGACGTTCCGAAACTTCAGTCAAGTCTCCTGTAATCTTTCTCACATCTTAACATCTGTTATACGGCACTGAGCCTCACGACAACCCAGACCAGGCCCAGGAGTTCCGAACCAGCGCAGCCTCGCGACGACAGGCAGCGGGCCGCGCGCGGTCGCGCGCACCGACGTGACGGCGCTGCTGCGGCGGCGGCCGCTCTGCTGTAAAGGGCGCCGTGGCGGCGTCGTCGTCGGCGATCGATCGCCCCGAGGGCAACCCACTCTATAGCTCTACCCCACCCACCTTATACACGAGTGCACGCCACCACCACCAGCCACTCGAATCACACACATGCGCCACATAGCCACAAAAACAACAACAACAACAACAAAAACAACAACATAGCAGAATAACAACGTAAACACCACACACACCCACATCCGGAGCTAAGTCGCCCTGAAGTATCCGAGAGGTTCCGCCGACTGCAATGTCGCACAGTGGGCGACCAAGCAATGCTTGAGCCCTCAACCGCTAACCTTAGGGTTCACGATCCCCCACCTTTAAAATATGAAGCAGAGCTTCAAAGTACTGTTGGGTCACCGCAACTCCAACGAACGTGAAAGACGTTAGGACATAAAACACAGTTACAGATGAAGTCTATATCTAAATACAAATGGTGTGGTGCAGAACAAGCAAATGCTAGTATAACAGTTGTATAGTAAAGTGTAAAAATCAATAGTAATGAAAATGAAAGAAAAATACACGGCGTCTGATGGACGAACCTAATAAGAGAAGTTTGAGCTCTCGTCGTGCATTGCGCTTGTCACGCTGGAGCTGTTTCTCGATCTCCTGGTTGATGCGCTTCTGCTCGCGCGCCTCCTCCGACAGACAGCAGGCCATCGCGAGACGCGCTCCAGAATCCTCCGACTCACAACCGCTCGGTCGTCGTCGTCAGTCCGCGGCCTACTCTTGCACACACTGCTTCTGCCAACTAACTTCTGTATCACGAATTAATCAGTAACATCAGGTCACGGACATCACCCGCAACAACAATACGTAGCAGAATGTGGACGAGGTGTGTGGTGAGCGTGGGCTCGACGACGAGACGAGACACAGAAACGGCGCGCGCTCTTGTCCGGCAAAAGGTGATCCGCAGACGACCGGACCACGGCCGCCGCGACGCAGCCGCACGCCCGCCGGCGCTCTCGCACGCAGCGCTGACAGTACCCGTCGCCACGGGACCACCCCGCGACGCCCGCGCTGTCCGCCGCGAAGCCTCGATGTCGCAGCGTGTCGTGTTCGGCCGGTGTACTGAATTTAGTCTCAGAACCGTTCTTCGGTCAAAGTATAGCAATTATTCAAGCGCTTCTTCAAAAGTGGTGTCCAGAACGTAGTGTGCTGGGCAAGGGAAGTGGTGTCTTGGCGAAGATCTTTGGCGAAATATCGAAGTTTTCCGTTACTTTCACGTAGAATTGCAATAGCGCAGATAGAAAAGTGGTCAACTGTACTATGTACTTCCATCGCGATCCTTGTATTGGACATGTGTAATCGATATCCATAATCTGTTCGAAGGACAGGTACCGTTGTACATGGATGTTTCCACCTTTCAGGATCAAGAACGTTGAAATTCATTTCCAGACCGTATAACTACTTGTCTGATAGAAATGGTAACGAATTTCATTACCTTCCAGTATCTAAACCTGGTTAAAAACCAGGAAGAACAAGCCCGACGTTCGACGAGAGTTGTGTTGTGGTTTCTTCGTTCGTATGTGACCCGTCTTAAGATATCGTTCGTATCCCAGCAATTTCTCCACATGGATTCCCCGCAACCATCATCCTCGAATCAACCGATTCGTGTCTGTTCCGCTACTGCGCGAGGGTTTTTGGTATTGTCCATCACTGAATACTTGTCAAGTCAATTCCACTATCCGAAAACCAAGAAACTCTTGGAACAACCATGCTAAGGCGTTCCTAGCTCTTGTCGACCGCAGAGCTTCCCAGAGCAGTCTGCTACCAACTCCCAGACCCCATAGCGATGGGAAGCCTAGTTGACCCAGAGGTATGATGCTAAACCAAGGCTTTGAGCGTACTGAATGGGTGGCCGTGTTACTACCTGTACAATATGTAATTGTTTCCCTGTGAATCTACGGAAGAACATTCAATGAAACGAAATTTATGCAACGCCACAATGTTTTCACGACATGTATTCTTTCTTGATAAGCTTGTACGAGGTTGATAAGTATATTTATTTTCGGCTAACGTTTCGACGTCTTCGTCTTCCTCAGAGCCGATGATCCGAGTCGATGGTCCATGATTGTTGTTCGTCTCGACGTTGCAGCTTCGCCTTTGTGTCGAGTCAGGTCTTCCTCAGCGAGCCATCTCCTCGAATGAGGCATATTCACTCGGTGATGCCCTTTTCTATAGGATACTGATGGTGTATAGTTGTGATTGTCCGGTGATAACAACTTGTTTCCCTTCCGGACAGCCCATCGTGCAGAAGCCTGTGTTATTATCAGCTAGTACAAAGCGTATTAATATTTTAATAAAAGGGCATCAACGAGTGAGTATGCCTCATTCGAGGAGATGGCTCGCTGAGGAAGACCTGACTCGACACGAAGGCGAAGCTGCAACGTCGAGACGAACAACAATCATGGACCATCGACTCGGATCATCGGCTCTGAGGAAGACGAAGACGTCGAAACGTTAGCCGAAAATAAATATATTTATCAACCTCGTGCAAGCTTATCAAGAAATACATATTGATTAGTCACACCGAGGTTTAGAGAAAGTCGGTTTCGAAATATGTTTTCACGACATTTTTTCCCAATTTTTTAAAAATGTTCTTTCTTTTAATGAACCGACGAAATTCGTTATCGAACAATTTTTTAAAACTTGAGGGTCGGGCTTGACCATCTGCCCATGCAGTAGATTCTCGAGTTCCATATCGCACATTAGAAATTACAATAAAACGTCACGTGTTAGTGATCAGACGTCAGATGTGAGGGCGAACTTGAATGTTAGGTAGGACCTGGTTTACTGCTCCAATCATTCGACCAACTCACTACAGCAAGACTAAACTAGTTAGTACCATTAACTAGTAGAAATGAATATGGAGTAGAAACAGTGGTCAGATATACCCCACGCTTGAATGGAGTAAGCCTGCGTAATTTTCATGTGTTACTTGAAAAGAGACTCCCTCGATATCTCGCTGTGACTATAACTTCATGTTGTTCATCTACCCAGTTATTTTAGCACGAAACACGTTTGAAAATCAGTCCACACTCCAGTTTTACACAAAACCAACGATATTGATTACGATCTCCAATGTGGTGGGACACTTCATCCTTCTTTAAACTAGTTACGTCTTACCATAAGATTGATTTCATGACAGTAAGGGTAATAGCCATATCGGTCTTGGTAAAGGATCGGTTGTAGACTAAGGATGAGCATAATGTAAACAACTCCGCTACACATCCATCCTGTGCGCAAAAGACGGACATGCAATGGCTGGTTACTACCATCCTCCGTAATGGGTTATATTCTACGAATGCTTCCTCAACATTGTTTCACGCCTCTTGCAACATATATTGAATGCTTTTACAGTACAAAAATTTCTGTTGATATAGGCGGTAAGAATTATCAGTGTTTTTCTACAGACAGAAATACATCGAACAAAATTTATAGCAACAGCAAAATCAAACATTTAGAAGCGCAACTTCGTGAAAAACCACTTGTTCTTGCCGGTTTTGTATCGCTCCTCAAACTTGGACTTGATCTCTGCTAGGGCACACCGCTTCTTCTTTGGAATCTTCAGTGACTCCTACAACATTTAATTAAAAGATACTTCGTCTTCCTCTCACCTACAAACAAATCACATTACACTCATTACCTTATTTATATTTGCTTTATCGAAAGCAACATCAACAGAATACCTTGTTGGAAGAAGGTGACTGTACGAGACGACCTTCACAAAAGGTCTCAACTTGCTTCGCTTTTCCTGTTTCTTTTTTCCCATGGTTTTCGTAACCTAAATATTTTGGCTCTCTTCACTGAACTTCGTGAGAATGATATTTACCTTCAGCGGGTACTTGTCAATGCCAGCGATGATAGCATGAGGGTAGGACCTATCTGCACCTCCTTCATCATGAGCTTTGACGACAAGAGCTTTTCTTCCGGCGTATTTGCCACGGAGGACGAGAACAACCTTGCCTGGCTTCATTATCTTACCCATAATGATCCTATGAAACAAAGCTAAAGTGTACACAGTGGAAATAAGGGAAGAAAGAAGCAAGATATGGACAGATATTTACATTAACATATAGGTATGTACAACTAAGTAGAAAAGTTCAAACATTTATTCATAAATCAATAGCTTGTTGCGTACAATCTTCGAAGTTTTTCCTTCTTGTTCTTATTGTGGTGATGTTTACTCCCTTTTTCCGGAGTAGCATGGACGACGGAACTGGACACGGGGACAAAAGTAGTGTTTGAGGAGCGCTTATGAATATGGCTTCTAACGGTGTTGAAAAATGCGGAATCAACTTTTTTGGTATTTAAAACACCGCTTTCAAGTAAACCACGTTTCTCAAGTTGTCCGAGCTGAACATGACCAGATCCAGAACCCTTTGAATCACTTGAATATAGGTGACTATTAAAAATTTCATGGTCGACACCCGGTGGAGGGGCAACCCATTTAATTCGACCGGCGATTACATCTTTCACAACCATGCGAGCTGCACGTGAGCAATCAGGAATTCCTGAAGCTGACATAAATCCACGTATAAAGGCTATAGATGTCAAGAGGTCCAAAGCAGATGACTTCGAACCATCCGGTAACACAATTGAATACATGCGCTCGAAAAAAGGTGTTGGGACACGTGACAACAATAAAGCAATTGGTCCAAAGTGTTCTCGCATTTGATCCGGAGGAAGAATACCTGAAAATGATTTCCTTTCTCGAATGGCGTAAAACGATGATAGTGATAGAAAAAACGGTCTTCATGAATCAATGCCTAGCAGACTAAGGTACCCACCCTATTTCTTAACACTACAGCAGTAGAACACATAATTTGGAAATCCAAGCAAGACTAACCATTCAGGAACATGTCGTTTCTGCCAAACGTGAAGGAAGGCATAACAAGCCCTGGGCTATCACACAAGCACAGCTGTAAAAAGCCATTTTGTTCTCAGATTTAAACAAACTTCAACTATTCTTAACCTAACTTACTTGGCTGTCAATATACACCGTTTGGAAGTGACGGGTCTTTCCAGGGACAGCCGAAACAGAAACTTTTTTAACACCGGCTAACTTATTGACTGTTGAGCTTTTGCCCACGTTGGGATAGCCAACCATACCCACAACGATTGGTTTTGAACCAGGAATGTCGGATGCATGGCCAATATCCTTCAAATACTTGATGAGATCTTCACGAGTACGAAAATACAAATATCCATTTGCAGAAGTATCAGTAGAATGAGACGGTGTGCATTCCTCCGATATAACGGGAGGTTCTTCCAAGGCTGACCTTAACAATACACACCATTTGAACGACTAAGAAGATAGGGAAATAACCGTACCAAAAAACTGCGTCAATTTGATTCTCCGCAAAATATTTTGCCCATTCGGACAGATGATACTTTTCTAAAAGGTCGGCCTTGTTAACCAACAAAAGTAGCTTCTTCGCAGGATCGACTTCCTTCACAAATCGGTCAAGATCTTTACTTCGAAAAAGAAGCGGATTTCGAGCGTCAACGATCTGCAACACATATCAACATTATAATAAGTTGAAACTACACATCTTAATCGGATTGTACAATGTAATTATGTATTCTCTCTTCAACCAGAAAAAAATTGATAGCATAAGATTTGCATCCTCCAAATAGAAGATTGTAAAACACAGGTAGCAAAGGTTTGTCAGTACTTCCTACACATCTTGATGTTACACTTTGTCATGGAAGAAGCTGTTATCAATATTTAAGCATTAATGATTGAAGGCAGCTCGCATTTGCTTTAATGAGCTCAGATTGTCCAAAAACAGGAAACCTTTGAATGAAGAACTGCTGTGGCATTACCAACTACGACAAAAAGCTAAGCGAAAATATATTAGGTACGGAAAAATTGTCAGCTGATACGGTTTCAACGGTCCAACGACGCTCAGTGAAAACATAAAATCCCTGATAAAGATGAATTGGCAGGAATACCTGGCATGTTCATAAACGGCACAAACTACTGGTCGGTAACTTTAGGGAAGTTTCACAATACGGCACTTTGCAGAGGAAGAAACCATTCCCCAAATGGCAAGTATAACGGCAATAAGGTCTCTTTTATCTCACCTTTCATTTCCAATGAAATAGGCACACCAATAAAACTCTGTGAAGGACTCATAAAAACAGTGGGTGGAAAACCTGTTTTCTTTCCAATGTGATTGAAAACTAGGCTTCACGGCTTTTCTGTTGATGTTATTGAACCAATTAGCTAACTATATTTCAATCAACTTCACCTTTTCCAACTCTGAATAAGGAGAAATCCGCTGAAACATCAGCTACCGCGAACAAAGAGATTCCACAATTACAACTCCTTCTTTGTTCATCAAGAAAACGGCAAATTATCCATAAAACAGTAACATAGATTGTGGTGAAATTACAACCACCACCAAAACCGCTTGAAAAAAAATAGTTGAACACACCTACACAATTTATAATTTCAACCGATACTGAAACCATCCACATGTGATTTAACGCATAACGAACAAGTACCATCTAGTGGTTCTGCCGCTTGGGACTATGCCTAACCTTAAGCCTTTATGAGTTTGTTGCACTGTAGATCAAACTGCCCTCCTATTACACCGACAGGAATATAAACGATTTACGAATTTTTGAGAAAAAAAAAACAAAAAAAGTGAAATACCAGTTTAATATTGTAAGCATTTGCATTTGCATAAAAAGACGATCCCTCAAAAGGTACCCAAACACGTACACATGAATCCGTCGTACATCTTTATAGAGAACGGTTGCAAGATAGCGAAACGAATGGAGGAACTGACCCCGCCCTTTATGTCATGAACGGTCATTTCTGTATAGGTGCAAAGTACAAATTGCTAGCGGTTCAAAAAATGCGTACTAGTAAGAAACTGGTATAGTTATAAGGAAACGAATAGCACAGTGGTAATTATGTCGATCACCACGAGCACGATGATTGTTCAATCCCGCTCCAGGCTCACCGAGCGTCTCATCTCTCCGGTGTCGGGAAATTGTTATGGGACTTATCCGGGAAAAGATCACTCTCTGCAATTCAATTGGGAAAGCAACAGCCCAGATGTCTCCGGACTTCAGAGGGAATCGACTCGACCATGATTCTACGATATTAAAGATGAAATAAAAATCTTGAAGCAATAGCCGAATCCACAGGAAAAGTTGAAAAACCATCGTAGATAATGGATGGGAATAACTACAGAATGAAAATTTCCATATCGTCTAGAGCTGCAGTTGAACAGATTAAGTTGATGCCTAGTCCGATTGGATTTTAAAACAATCAAACTGCACGCATATCCAAAGCTTTCTTATCATCAAATATTGCACTCGGCGATATATCCAATTCTTGAGTAAATCTACAGCAAGACATTGGAGACTGAAAATGCGGTCCAAATCTGGTCCAACAGACATTCTTGAATTTAGTACTTCTGGTAGAAGTTGTACGGCAACAATACGAACTAGCAAAAATAAAAGCACTAAATTAGCATTGTCTTCCACAAATAAACTTGACTCCATACTAAAGAAGTAGTTAAAAACCTGCCTTGAACGCGAATAAAAATAAAACAAGACCTGCCTGCACAACGACATCACTGCGTTCGACCACACGCCAAAGTTCCCTCCACATATCTGGATTTCTCTCGAAAGGGGTTAGAGTTAGGCCGTCATGCTAAAGGTGTTGGTTATTTATTGCCCTTTACTCTAGAAAACATAGCTATTTTGCAATAGAGGGTACTCTTCCTAAACGGAAACTTTATACCTCTTGAAGCTCCGAAAGATCCGACCGCCATTTAAGAAATGTTTCATTCTCAAGTTTCGTCAACTCCTCGATGGTATTCCAGGTTTCTCTGGGAGGCCTTCTTGGAATTTTCAGTCTATGTTCAAATTGTCGTTGTAACTCCATGTTGTTTGTGTAATCAACTCGGGATGGAACTACAACCGGCGTCTCTCTGAAACAACAAAAGTTCAGAAAGACCAAATAAAGCAAGTGAAGACGTTGGGAAATAATTGTGCATAAAATTAGTAAAGATAAAAGTAGTGAGTTAACTTGTAACACATATCATCAACAGAAAGAAAACCTGAAATACTTAGTCACTTACTAACTTTTCGACAACATGGAATTGCCCGCGCTCGGCTGTAAAGGCCGCTCCCGACAATTGCACTCTTCCTAGAAAGTCTTCTAAGCTGGCTTCTTCAGTAGTTGAATCGATATATTTCTTAGTTTCCTGTACATTATCGACTTAAGAAAAAACGAAAACAAAAGCTTGAAAGGAAGACCGATAGGCACTTACGACTTCCAAGAAGGCTGGATTTTCAATATTCTCCCCGTCATATTTAGACCGTTGATGTGTTCGCCTAATGCGATCCCATTCATTGGTTAGAGAATTTCCAAGAGACTTATTCACTCCCGTGGGCTTCCTATTTGACAGACGACGTCTCGTCATCAGTGGACGTTGACGCCTAATGAAAACAATAACACTCAAAACCAGCACTAATCGAAAGTGGATTTTTTCGCTTACCACTCTGACAGCTGGAATCTGGTAGACCAAAAAGAGTGCACTAAAACCTAAGAACTGGAATAACCAAGAAGTAGTAGTAAACCTATTGGGATTTTCGTACGTTCAACTTTGTGCAATTACGATGGGATAGGATAATCGTTGTGAGACCTATACATCCCACTCTTGTCGGGACTTTGTGGCGTTTCCATTTCGACGTTATCCTATGCCCATTGAGGATTACATTCTTCGGTGAGGATCTTGTGATGCAGGGTTTGTTTTACATCTTACATTTTAAGGATTCGTGTTTAAATTTGATCTAACTCTCCAAAACTCTCGTTTTTTTTCTGGTTTGTTAAATTGATTCTTTCTACAGCTGCTCTTGATTTATCTAGTTGAAGCAACAACCTCTATTACCATTGTATGCTTGTTAAAGGTGGTATTGGATCACTAGGGCCTTTCCTTGAGAAGTTATTGGAGTACATAAAGGAACGATAGAGGGTAAATCGGGTGCTACAGTTCACGTACGCGTTGTTGTACAGCATCATCGTGGTTGTGATGCCTACTTTGTTTCTCGCCGTTATGCTCCTGAACTCGCGTATGAATTTGATGTCTAATGGCACCTACCTTTCCAAACACCTTTAAAACGCTAGGTTGCAAAGTATGGTCGGACTATCCACATTCATTTGTTGACGCGCTTACATTTCTACACATTCTTGTGGATGAGTTGAGTCACACCACTTCCACCTATACGGGCACTTCTTTGTTTAAATCGACTTTCAAGTGGTTACGAATGCTTTCTTAAGTATTTTTCGAGTACATCCGTGAAACAGTGTCGCCGGGCTGGCTATTCGCTATGTGCCTTAGGTGGACCTTATATAGCACGACGTTGAAATGGGACTGCTGGTGCTTCTACCATCTAATTAGCTTAACCAGAAAGATCCCCTTTCCTGCATGAAGAGCTTACTTCCACGTATTAATGTGTGTACCAATTGGGAAGTTGTTCAATACGACCACCGAAAGAAAGGCTAAAATATTTGCGCAGGTTCAGCAGTAAATAGATGGACACGTCCCACATAATTACTGTACGACGTAGTTTAGGATGATAAATAGACTCATTATGGTGAGGCTGTTCTTTCATTATAGCTAATGTAATAAGAGCAGATTGTTTTCCTTAAGTGTTCCTTGACACTTCCAGGTGCTATGATCGGTCAATTGTTGCGCACAAGCGTGCCAAGTCAGGTCATCAGCGTACGTTGGAACTGTCCATGGCATCGAAACAACTTTCGACCATGTTTCTTCCCGTTTAAACTGAAAGAAAAACTGAATACAGAGACGATTGAAGCACGTGTGAAGACCAGAGGAGGACGGCTAATGCTGATGAGACGAGTGTTGCGAGAACAACCGTTCCTTGGTTACGTAACGAAACCATTAAAACCAACAAAAGTCTCTTTTCCGTTGTAAATTTTTTTATTTCCGTGAGATCTTTAACAATAAAAATCGTAGATGATTTTGTTATACATACGAATTGCTTATTCCTTCAATGTTATGAGTTCTATTCGTTTCTTCACCTTCGGCGTCTCCATTGCGGTGTCAGTGCTTGTTCTAAAATACTCTTAAAAAACGCAGTGACGAAAAATCATAGTGCCAAAGTTAACTGATGGAATTCTTCTAATCTTAATTTCTTCAGGGGAATGTGGTAGTTTTAACAATTTCGTCGTATAATTTCATGCATACGAAAATTCCTGTACTTTCGGTTATCCTAATGTGATGAGCCTTTGCTATGCCCAAAGAACAAAACTGTGCTAGTGGTTATATCTAACTATTTAGGATCGGAACGCTGGACTAAACATATTGCTAGTACGACTCCTTATCAATTCTGAATAGATTGACAATTTAAGACCGATTCAAAGGGATACCTTAATGGTGTTGTAGGAGTTGTAAGCTCTGCCTTCACAGATGGTGATTCGTCGGATTTCGCTTGGAGAAAACGAAAGAGACTGCCAGATCGAGCCGTTGTCACCGACTGTGGGGATGATTCTTGGGGGGTGGTCCTGGCTGGTGATATACAGTCCTGCTCATCCCTATTCCTTATATCTAGAAAAGAACACCGATTGGCTAAATTGACAGTTAAGGTTAATTTATAATCCTATTAAATCTTATAGTTTACAAGTGTTATTGAAACCCTTTCTCACAACGGTTTACCACCTCATCGTGACTAGGGGGTGTTCATAAGTGTCGGGCTGCGATGTACAGCAGAGAGATTCATCCACTAGCAGTCTCCTAAGCTGAGAAGGAATCCGGCGTTTTCATCAGGAAGCCCAGTTAAGAGTAAAACAATACCAAGACTAATCACCATGCTAGTATCAAACTAGTCGCATGGTGGCAAACTCCCCTCTTATCTACAAAGGCGACGACTACCTGTGGTAGTGACGACCTGAGGCAGACTTTGGGACTTTAGGGAACCACAATGGCTAAACCAGAAAAACTGCGGAAAAATCGAGATTATGCTGGGGACCAGCACAACCAATGAGGACGGGCCATCCAAGTATCCAAGTATTCAAACCTTTACCGATCCTTTAACATACCAACAATTTCGAATACCCATGACTTCTTATGTTTGCGGCATGGGAATAAGCCTCGAATATCATTGCACTTAGTGTGCCTACTAATAGTCTCCAAGGGACTTTTCGGATTACAATCACAGCCTGATTTATGGAAACGAATAAAATTCGTCTGAATATTGTTTGCAAATTCTAGCGCTCAAAAAGTTTTTTTCCGGAGTAGGGCTAGTGCAACAGCGTCATAGGGATGCTGGTGACTTAGTACAAAAAGTACCAGAGGATGATTCTGCGCACAAAAGAACTATCTGAAAGGAAAATGTGTTGGAGTAAATGCATATTTTCCAAGATAACCACAGCACTGAAACCAATGAATATAGTCGCGAACGAGTTAAATCAACAGCGTTAGGGAAGTGAAATGATCTATTATGTGCCATTTAAGTTCTGACTACATTTAAAGACAGTACTGCTTTTCTTCTTAATCGTGCATTGATAAAAACCCTGCGGATCACGATTATGAAGCGCACGACGCTACTTTATAGTACTTGTACAAATGTCGTGTATTCACCTTTGCTCTTTTCTCTCAGCTTTCTTCCTCTAATCTGTATAAGGGGCGGTGAAGGAGGACAGCTTTCTAAGAGCGTTTGCTCTATCTGAATTGTGTATGTGTCACATCATGTTCACATATGCAATAGAGACTGCGAAGAGGAAGGCAACTAAAACAAAATCGAATGGAGCACCTTGCATCCCCACTGTTCAACTGTGAGCTTTAAAAATGTGCAGTATCCTTCAAGGGACGAAATCACAACGTTCCTTCCGTCGGCACTCCACGTTGCCTCTGTCAGACTGTTGTACTGGATATTTTCTACAAGACCGATTGGAATGGGATGTTGGCTGTCGTAAAAGTAAACACTATCCTTAGTAAGAGCCAGCCAAAGTATTCTGTAAGGTAATCTGAAAATAAAACATTACTATAACATACCCATAACATAACACGGGTATTCATGCATGCGTGTGTGGGTGCGTTCTTGCTTATGCGGATTGTATTCTACGAGTCAATTCGGCCAAAAGCCTGCAATAAAATGATTGGGAAGTATATGGGAGGCGGTTAGGAGTCGCCTCCAACAAGTAGGCTCCATGTCCACTCTGGGAGAGCCTGGCAAGCTACCCGTCAGTATAACCAGCCCCCACGTTCAAAACCCAGCAAGGCATACGTGGGTATCAAAAATGCTAAACACAGTTAAAAAAATGGGTCTCATTTCACTGACCCCGAAAGAGCCCCCAATTTCGCAGCGTTGGATAGGACGAGTACGGAGAGGCTGCTAAAATCTCAGGACCAATGGAAGCTGCCTGGATTTCAAAGAACTATGGTGACGATCTGTACCTATAATGCACGTACACCTGCATCCGAGTCCTCGATAGAAGACTTGCTCATGCAAGCAGGAAGGATAAAGTACGACGTCATCGGCCTGGTCAAGACGAGAATACGCCAACCTTTCAACATCGTCTATGACACCGGAGACGAACTGTTCCTCGGAACATGCAACAGTACAGGAGTCGGCGTTCTCGTCAACACGAGTTTGTCCATGAACATCGATCCATTCGAACAACTTACAACCAGAATCGGGCGTTTACGATTAAAAAGAGGTGGATGAATTCCGGCTTTGACAATCTTCGTCGTTTACGCCGCGACATCAAACTATGACGAAGAAGAAGTCGAAGCGTTCTATATAGGCTTGGAGAAGTTCTACAGAGAAGACCACACATGCTTCAAGGTCATCATTGGAGATTTCAACGCCAAGATTGGACCAAGAAGAACGTCACATTGGGACCCACGGATTAGAATGGAACGAAGAGGGCGAGCGGCTGTCTCAGTTTATCATGGCGACCAAGACCATCCATGGTAACTCGCAATTCCAGAAGCCCCATCCTCGACGCTGGACGTGGGAATCTCCCAATAGAGAGAACCATAACGAAATAGACCACATCATAATAAATAGAAGGTTTTGCCTAATCGATGTCGCTGTTGTCCCAAAATTCTACACGGGATCAGAACGCCGTCTCCTTCGTGCAAGATTATATTTCTCGCGGAAAGGAGAAAAAGCCGCTAAATTCTTAAACCGAAGTAGCAGAACCATTGCAAACTGGGACTTATTCAATTCATTAGTCGGCTGTTGGGAAGATGCCGTTGTCGATAACATCGACAAAGAATACGGTCGGTTCATTCAAAATCTTCACGTTAGCGCTATGAAAGCTGAGAGTTCGAAAGTCACCAAGATATGTTTGCTTCCAGAAACTCTCGAGCTGATACGCCAGCGTGGAATCGCACGACCTGCAGGAAATCGCGAACTGACGTCCAAAATTGCAAAACAATGAAGACAGGCGATAAAGGGAGATCTTAAAGAGAGAAAAGCAGCAGTAATGGTCGAAGCTGCAGAGGCTGGGAAAAGCATACGCAAAACCCACCGAAGCTTCGCCAATTACAAAACCAAAATGATTGCATTACGGCGCCCATACGGAACAGTTACAGCGTCCAGAAAGGCAATAGAGAAAATCATTCACGAATACTACTCAGATCTCTTCAATAGCTACGTCCACCTTCCGTCATATGAAATAAAGGAGGATGGATATGTTGTACCACCGGTTCTCCCTTCCGAAATCCGACATGCTATTTCGTCGATGGAAAATCGAACAGCACCAGGTCCGGACAGGATAAGACCAGAACACCCAAAGAACCTTACGCCAGTCCTCGTAAACACACTGGCTCGGCTCTTCACACGTTACCTGTCTGAATGCAAGGTGGAAGTGGAGACTCAGTGGAAAACCAGCAAGACCGTGTTATTGTTCAAGAAGGGCAACCTACACGATGTGGGTAACTATCGCCCAATCTGCTTGCTCTCTGTCGTCTATAAACTTTTCATTCGAGTCATCCTAAACAGGATTGACAGAACACTGGACGCCATGTGAGCAAGCAGGGTTTCGAAAAGGATTTAGTACGATGGACCGCATCCACACAATAACAAGGCTCATTGAAGCATCGCGAAAATACAAAAGACCGCTCTGTCTCACTTTCATCGATTTAGAGAAGGGCTTTGAATCAACTGAGATAGAAGCAGTCATGGAAACACTTGATAGTCAGGGAGTTCCTACCCAGTACATAAAGATTCTTCGTGAGCTGTACAAAAATTTCACAACCAAGATGTCATCATTTTACAACGATATTAACATTGACGTCAAAAGAGGAGTTAGGCAAGGCGATACCCTCTCGCCAAAATTATTTACCGCAACCCTCCAGAACGTCATGCGAACATTGGAATGGGATAATATGGGAGTGAAAATCGACGGTCGGCAGTTACACCATCTTCGCTTTGCTGATGACATCGTCCTCATAACACCAAACATTAGCCAAACGGAACGTATGCTTGACGACTTTGATAAAGCCTGTGGAAAGATTGGTTTTCGACTAAATCTCACAAAAACGATGTTCATGAAGAACGGTTGGTTTCGCATGCCCCATTCACGCTCAACAGAACGAATATCTCTGAGTGCTCCAGTTATATCTAGGTGGGGAAATCAATATAATGAACGACCTAGCTCCAGAGCTGAGCAGAAGAAAACGAGCGGCATGGGGAGCTTTCAAGAGGATCGAAGATGTAGTGAAGAGAACAAAGAACACTCGACTCCGTGCCCACCTTTTCAACTCAACAGTACTTCCTGCCCTAACCTATGCGTCAGAGACCTGGTCGCTGCGTAAACAGTATGAAAAATCACTCAACGCCATCGAACACGTAGTCGAAAGGGCGACGCTAGTAGTATTCCGTGTCACACAAGTAAGGGAAGACATCCGAAGCTCCGTCGTATGTCAACGATCAAAAATCAAAGATGCCATTCTGTACGCCAAACAGTTGAAGATAAGATAGACGGAAAACTTAAACCGATGGATTAGAGCCGTTAGTCATTGGATTCCTCGAAATGTCAAACGTAATGCAGTAAGACCATCGACTCGACGGTCAGAGTTCTTCACCAAAAGCCTTGAAGAAAGATATGATGCTCGACAAGTCTCTAGAGCGAACAGAACCCACTGGGCTACTCTTGCACGCGACAGGGAAAAATGGAAGGTTTACTGACGTCCGCTCGAGTCACTCGACGATCAACGGGACTACAGGTGACAGGTGATATAACACACCCATACAATACAACTTTTGAAAAATAAGAATAAATTAAATCTTTCTAGGACGACTGAGTAAATAGTGGCTAACTAACCCAGTGTAATTAGTTTCCTCCTTTTTAAGCGTCATTATAAGAGGACAACATCTGATTAGAAACGTAGCCTTCGGACACGGTAGAAAAGCGAAGGGTTTGTCGCTTAAAAACAACATGAAGAGAAAAAAAAACGCAAACAGTACCATAGAACGCCGAACAATATTTACTTCTCTATCTCATTCCTTTTGAAAACCAGAGTTCCGTAAATATCCCGTGTACCAGCTTCCAGGTTCGCACCTACAATCGGCATTACAACGGTGAAGAGTGAGGTAATCATAAAACAAACCTAAAAATTAACTAACACGGTGCTATTATTAACTGTCCACAAGGCGAAAAAGCTATGCCTCGTTGAAAACTCATCAGTTGGTCGTCATGGAAGAGTTTATAAACCTAAATCTAGATATAACAGAAAACTTTGATGTAATTACATTTCCTATTACACAAAATACCTTATGTTCTAAAGGGACATCCAGGATGGTGACTGCCGGTAAAGCGGAAACCCCAAACATTCGGAGCCTTGTGCCTCTCGTTGCATCGATTAGATCCATTTTACGGTCAGTAGACATTGTGACAAGGTATTTTCCTTTAGGATCCCATGCGACACCGCAAGGAAAATGCCGCAAATTCCGTACTGTCACAGAACGTTTACCTTGAAATGAACAATACACTATCTAAAAACGAGGCACAATGACGAATTGTGATGAGAATAAGGGAGGAGTACACCTATCACATATTCGAAAGATATTCTACCGAAAATCTAGATCAAAGTAGTGGAGTTATAATAACTCGGGCATAGCGACGGTAGTGTTTCTAGGATTCTTTTCAAATACTGTGTTCAGCTGAGCGTCATAGAATGAAGTGGACCAGGGTACGACAGCAATTGACGACTCAGCAATTCCAGTGCAAGTTGTTAAAATATACCTTTTAACACTAACTAGTACACATTGATGAACCCACATGCACCGTCCAGGTCAGGAATATGTTAGTAAAATGCACGATGGCGCATGGAGCACTTTTAACACTTAGATTCCGAGATTTCATTCGGTGTGGTGTGGTATGACACCTACTTTGTTTTCCAATCACACGCGCTAAGAATTGAAATCATATCATGCCTACTGATTTCTCCTCACTTGTGGGGTCAAATATAGCCTCTAAATTAGCAAAAGTTTATGTGCTACTGTGTTTATACAAAAAGTACTTTAACGCTGAAGGCCTCGTGATCTTTGCGTCCTGCTCAGCAAAAAAGTTTAAGCATTCTTTTTTGTGCATTACTAACAGTAGAGAATAGCGCCCCTAACTCGAAGTTTGGTACAACATCTGTTTGGCAAGGGTCATCAATTGAATGCAAGAAACACGTTGAAAATTAGCTCATGATTCAGAAGGTTCAGAAGGTTAAAAAGGCAAACTAAATTCCAACACATACCTGATGACACATTATGCACTAGTAAAGACTCGTCATTAGATACAGAGGCAAGAAGTCTTCCATCTGGACTCCAAGCCAAGCTTGTTACTTCACTGTCGTGATTCAAAACCTAAACAGCCGTTCTCCTTCCTATTTTTTCTGTTGAAAAGAGTATTTTACAGGAATGAACCAACAGCGAAGAACACGAATAAATTTATTTAACTCATTACAGTGTTGAGAAATAGACTGCAAAACCCATGAGGGACTTGGAAACACCTATGATGCAGCACAAATATAACTAAAAGTCGGAGCAACAGTTAACCCTCGGTATTCTTTTTCATCTACCATAAGGGACAAAATTAGAGTGCAAAATAAACTAGCGGAACTAATCAACCTCTCTTTGATGGACTCTCGTTGGCTGTTCAGTTGTAAATTGCTGTAGTGAAAGATAATTCAGATTGTTTAAGGATTTTCAGTTATTAGCTAATTGATAGATCGGTACCTTATCCTTTACAGACTAGTCTGATACCAAGAAACAAAATCACAGAGAAAAGAACGTTTGATTAGCTTGGGGAATTTACCGAATCAACGAATACATCTTTGGAAACATGAGTTTCACTATACAAGACTCTTAAAATCAGAATGAGGACAGAAGTAAAAGGACTATTTACATCTCCTTTTCCAATCAAATCACAGAAAGTTTCGCACTTTTATATGATAGAGCGCAGATAAGAACTAGGCTTAGTAACTTCCTGACCCTAATTCTCGCAAAAATTGTAAGAGAATCCATGAGAGAGACGTACAACATTTAAAATGTACTAAAACAACTCACTCTGATACGGACCCAATTCTCCTTGTTCGGCGGCAAATCATCAACCGGTGGTGCAATGGTGGCTGTATCTGATAGCTGCCAAATGGCAATACGTCCATCAGAATCTCCAGATGCCAACAGGTTCACTGCAGTGGTAATAAATCTTAACAGCGCGACAAAAATGTCATCTAGCGCTCATTCGAAACCAATATTTGTACTATACTAATATATATATATATAATATATACTAATATATACTAATACTAATAATATACTATGAGTCGATTCGAATAAATCAAACCTGCACCAGCATCATCTCAATTTCCATTTGTCTGTGTTGGTCGCCATGTTCAGAAGGCTCGAGTGCCATATTGTTTTTAAAGGATATTAACGAAACACTTACCAACATCCAGATCAGCAATGATATTCACTCTATATGGAGAGAATAAAGGATATCTCTTGAGCTGATCAATCTCTAAGTGATGCATGATGCATCATGCATTTGACTCCATTAAGCATCGGTGAGTGAATGCATATTTATCCTGTAGAGTAAGCTTCTGGAAGCCATAGTAAGCCTATCGACATAGCATTTCAGTGTTTTTATGCTTCAAAGAAAGTCTCGTATCAATCTGCCAGCCAAGGAGAGATGGAATCCTTGGTTAAACAACGTGCAGAACTGAACCCACGACTATGGATCTGCTAGAGAGAACTAGTGTGCTAAGCGCGTCTGAGGTGAAACTCAGTACGTTACAATTACTGTTTAACCGTCAATCCCTCAAATAAGTGACATATGCCAATTACTAAATATTCAGTGTCATAAGCTGTAGTGTTCTTACAACTGAAAAATTTAAAAAGCTTAATTTTCAGAACCTTTCTCCCGACTATAAATTGATTCAACTTTTGTAATGCTAATAATTATGAACCATGCGATGGACGAGGAAGAAGCATCGAGTTAAAAATATAAAGGAAGAAAGAAAATGCTGGTCGCATGAAGCATACCCTTCTCAAAACTTGCGTCAGTCACCTAAATCTTAGCGGATCTCTTGTGATTATGGAAGACTTCTAAGGAAAAAACCACCCCTTATGGCCCTCAAGAGTAACTGATGAGTAAAACTCCGTCCAAAAACAGCTGACAACCTTGATACGAAACCTAAAGAATTAGAGATTATTGACCAAGACGCTTAGAGCACTTTACAGTATTGGTCAACACTTTCCTTTTTTCCATATGGTCTCTACGGTTCAAAAGACATTCTATGGTCGGAAGAATACAAGAAGCACATAAAAACTAACATTCTGGGTTCTGACTGAACTTCACTTGATTGATGGCGACGTTGTGTCCGGAGAGATTAGCGAGAAAGGTTACTGCCAACTGGTACTTCGAAGACACTTTTGTAACTTGTTCATACTCAAACCGCCAAATGCGGACCTAGAAAACTGTAGAAAATTATAGCAGCTGTAGGATCTTTAAAAACTAACGTGGAACATGAAGTCTAATAAGAATTCAAAAGGAAATCAAGTGAGAAGTAGGTTGAATTCATGTGTGAAACACGGTACATGGGAGATTTGTGGCTAATCTTTACAACCATGTTGAGATATTTGCGAAACTTCGGACCGCTGGTGTCTGTGGTGGAGACAGAACACGCTATTACCCTCTTCGGTGGCTAACGCGTTCACCACCACACCATGCGAGTCCTTCGTTTCGCTAGTCTCTCAGTAGTGTTAGCTAATCCTTATATTTGAAGTTCAACTCTCATGAAAAAGTAACTTAAAACGCAAAATTTTCAAACGAAAAGCCAATAAACAAAAAAAACCTCCTTCTGGACGCTAGATGTAACTATTCTGTAAGCTCCATTCTCAATAACCGGATGACAGTCCACGGACAGAAGTGCTGTCCTGTCATGCCAGAAAATCTCTGGCATGTAATGTTCCATAGCTTCCTAAATTCATGAACTTCGGCTAGATGATGATCCACCGTTTTCTCAATCCACTAAATATCCAGGGAACACTGTTCTACAGGAAAACGAGTACCATCTAAGCCCGACTAAGTGAATGAAAACAAAATTTCAATAAAACTGAGTAGAACGTCCAGTACAAAACGCTGTTAAGCTAGTCTGCCATTACAACCAAAGGAAGAAGACCGACGTAAATGAGTAATAGGAGATGCTCACATCCGTATATAAACAGCTTTACATTGACATTTACGTAAAAGGCGTTCAAAAATAGCGATTTCGCGCAATGGAAATATGAAATTGGAGCGTGGAAACATCGATTTGGCAAGTCGCAGTTGGTTCGAAAGCATCGCTATTATACGCTCGTGAATCCCAAGTAATTATAGCTAGGCTCGAGGAAAACTTTATCATACGAAATTAGAACGGTCAGAATCTAAATGTTTCTACTAACAAGGTGCAAGTTCGTTCCTAAGGCAGATTAGAACTGAAGTCCTTGAAGCGACGAATTTCCTGACGGTACTCAGAGATCGTCGTCGTGAAGGCTGCTGCGCAATGAATATGAAAAAGTTTCGGCCGCATTGTGAATATCAATGAAAAGTTTGCTCCACACGACAACAGATGACGTTCAGTGCAGTGCTTTGAGCGAGGTGAAGCTGTTAAGCACTTTTCGGATCTGAGTTTGCACTGAGGAATGGTTATGGCAGTTATTTGGCACTCTACAGATGCAATCATCCGCTGCGCGTTTTGAAGCGTAGTCGAACCATCAAGGCGGATATGTGCCATCAGGACAAAAAAAAAATGAAAGGTAAAGCTCTCGGCGTTGATCAATCCCTTAGGGATGCGCCATGCATTCAACTCCACTAAGTATGGTTTAGAGGTGAATGACTGCATATCTGGCCTTTACAATGATTTGCGGTGGCCTACCGATGGACCTTGCCAGCGGTGCCACGCTCCCAGACAAGTCTGGTACCGATTTGCTGACCTTAGAGGGACAGAGAGATTAGCGGGCCTGCGACCCAGGGATCGATCCCATGTGTACTGCAGGGTGTCTCCGACCACTGCACCACACGCGCCCTATGCCCGTCAGGATAGCAACAAAACCTAACAAATACTGAAAAAACGTTTACGAACGATATGCATCAAAGAATTCTCTAGGGCGACAATGTCTAACCATCTGTCGTACAACTCACGCTGCAGAAGTTGAACGAGTTTGAATGTTCTGCCTAGGCGACTGCACTAATTTGTCCTATAGTTAACTAATTATCAACTTATTCAAGCAGCTTGACAAGTATTATCTGAGAAAATTTTCAGCAACCATGTCCGTACAGGGAACACTTGACAAAAATCGGTCGCCTCGAAAAGATTGGAATTTTAACTGGAAGAGGTTGGTTCGTTTCTTGATGTCAAAAGTGCCCAAATTCTAATGCTTCTTATTTCGATAAACGAAGCTGGATTTGAGCTTAGCTAAAACGATTCGATATTTATGGTTCGAGCACGTAGTTACTTTTGCACCGAGCGTAGTTGTCGAAAGCGATACGCCCTTTTCTGAAACATCTACTCAGCTGACCATGGGAGAAATTCCTTCTGAGAAGGGTTGAGTAGTAGACAAGTGTGTGGCTCTTCGTTCGGAGAAAATAAGATATTTCGGTATCCTATTACCTCAAAAGTGAAAAGCTTCCACAAAAACTGCTATTCAGGACGAACCACCTCCCTTCATTTTGGGGTTTTGCAACTGCCATTTACTTAAACCTTCCCAAGGATTTAGCGCCTCGTCGTGGCTGGGAGGTGTTCCTAGGTGTCGGACTACGATGTACATCGCGGCGACTCATTTTCTGGCAGGGCTTTCCAAGCTGAGAAGGAGTCCGGCGTTTCCACCAAGAAATCTAGCTAAGAGTAAACCAATACTAAACATCCACCAGCGCCCTGGTATCAGACTAGTCGCATAGTGGCAAATCTCCCTATGATCTACAAAGGCTGCGACTGCCTGTTGTGGTGACGAACTGGGGCAGTGTTCTGGCTGAGCTCAGGACCCCAGATAACCACAATGGCTACACCAGCAAAACTCCGAAACAATGGAATATGCATCCAATCATCTCTAACAAGGCTTAATGATGAAGAATGCATGGCGCATTCCTTTGATCGACGTTGGGGGAATGGTGAGGGGCTATCCTTTTTATTATAAGCCACAGTCGGCGAGTTAGTCAGTTCCTCTATTAGAGATCGGAAGACGGACCGGTATGCTCGCTGTCGTCAACCGAATTCTTCTTTCAAATTGTTACCAATTCTACTTATCAGGTATTCATCTCCATTGAATTTCCTAGGTAAACGTTCCTTATTCGGTGATTCATAGAGGATAATCTGCTCTTTTCACACCACTTGTTCTTCATAAGCTACTTTTTTCTCTGCAGTCCGTAGTGGTATCCTGTTCACTGTTTTCCGAAAATACGACACTCTTCTCAGCAAAACGTCAAGTGGAGTGGAATCGTCCATCAGCACTTACCTACACCTTTTTCGTCGCAATCATGTAACTGCATGCACCATTGTAGTGAACAGCTTTGGCGATACTGTCACTTAATATTCGTCCACGATCGCCTTCATACAGTGCTCGACAAGAGCGGGCGGGATGGTGCTTATCGTGGAGTACCAGAATGTTGAGTGTTGAGAGGGTTTCCATGTGGTCCATGTCGATGTAGTCTCGGCTAAATATCTCATGAAATCCAGCTTAAATTACAGGCTCTTCCTAATCCATGCCAACGTGCCCGCCAGAACGAACTTCATGAACAGTTTGTAAATCGTACCCAATGAGCTGATCGAAAGGGGCGACTTGTGAGCTCCAGAAGTCTAGTATTTCGTTAGCATGACGCAAGTAGTTCTCTAAATTGCCGGCAAAGATTCTAAGATTGCTAGAGAGCGAAAGATGTTCTTAATCAAAACGTTGGAGATTTATTGCACACCTTTCTTTAGGGATCCCAAAAGCGCCAGAACCATTTGAGTCTCTTGTACGACTTGGTGTGGTGACTAAATGGTTTCTCCTTTCTTTTTTCATCCGTATTTGAAGATTTTTCACATTAAAAGACAACCCGGCATTTGTCCGTCATCAAGTCTGTGGTATCTTCGTGAATTTGAGGTGTTGAACAGTGACATCCGCCCATCTCATGGTGCCGGTAGTTTTCCATACTTCACAGCGAATGACGATAGAACTGGTGAAATCCATAAGTAATCGATTATGCAGTGTATCCCATCGCTTTAGAAACTTATCAAGTACTAGTTACGGGGGTGGATACAGCAATAGTAGAGATGCTATCCAGTAGCACTCGCAAGATCTTGGTTCGACCTCGCACCGCGCCAACCAAGCCTTCCATCTCCCTATCGTTGGGAAATTGTTACCAAACCTGTCTAGTAAGAATTCGAAAGACCGACTTTCTATAAACCTCGGCATAGATAGTTGATATAGTGCGGATCCTAGCGCAAGAATCAAAAACATCAACGCGCAAAACTATTGAGGCGTTTTGGATAAATTTCAAAAATCCAAAGATGAACCGGAAGGACGAATGCCTCACTATCACGCGTGACCTGGCGCCCTATTCCAAAATGATATTTTGACCCCGGGGCGTGTCCTGCTCGCGACTCCACGTGAACTTCGTGTGGGCCAGTCCCGCACGTAACATCACGGTGAGTGGCCTTTCTGTTCAATATGGCGTCTATTTGAAAGTTTGATCTTCATTAACACTTTAACCTTCTTTTCCACCGAATAATAAAAAGTATTCTAACATAAAATGCGTCCAGGCTCTGAGGAAGGCGAAGTCGCCGAAACGTCAGCCATCGATTAATAACATCAAAAACAACTACAACGACAACGAAGATCTGTACCAACCTCGCGTCAGCTTAAAAAGATCAGTCTATAAGATCACATAAATAAATATGTCTAGTAAGAGTTCTTTGCCATCTAAAAAGGATGCAGGGCGCCTGTGGGGAAAACCTGGAACGGTTCTTGCTCGCTATTCCAGAGTTTCAGAGAGAATCTTCTAGACAAGCAGTCCAACGACATTCATAAAGAAGACAGAGACCCTCAACCAATAGCAGAACCCATACGCAAATCCGGTTTTTTGTAGATGTCGCGTGCGAGCAAGCGAATCAAACGAATGCAATGCTTGGATCCGCATGTGTGTCGTCGCGTCATAATAAAAACAAAATGAAAAGAACTAGATATTTCTAGAGGCAACCTTTGTATTCGACTGTTCTGTCTGGACTTGTTTTATTGGACAGTTTGTGAACTTCGAGGGCTTTAAATCGAGATGGCACTTTCCCATTGATCAGTGGCAATAAATCCAATGAATGCTGTATCAAAGTTAATTGTATGCAGAATGCAAAACCCGCAATCCATGTTAACACTGCACACTTACTCATTCTAGAAAATTTCTTCGGTTACGATATGAGTGGACGACCGTTCCAGCTTCACAGGTGCTGCGCACAAGCCCGTGGTCACGTCCAGTGTTGGCAACGTCGCCTCTTCCGAGACCTAACACGTCACCATCGGCGGGACTCGCTCCACCACCGCAGCGCTATCGATTACTAGTATGCGCAGCCTCATAGGGAGGAGAGGGCGGAGAGCCGACCTCGCCCGCCCGTTGCCCTCGGGCGGGACATACTCGCGCCTCGCGGTCCATCTGGCAGCATGGAAGCGGCTCTGAACGGACTTGCCGGAGCCGTCAAGCAGAGCGCGACCAAGGAGGCCATCATCCAGGCTCGAGGTGTGCTGCTTACGTCTTCATATTGTCGTGATTATCAGCACTAATCGTGAAATCACTCTGCTCTAATGGACTTGTTTCTTCTAATAACTCAACTCGAGCTGAAGTTACAATGTCTCCTTCGCATGGTTCTGGTCTAGCCTCGTTGAAATCAATTTCGTGTACACAAAAGCCATATTTTTCTCAATCTCAGTCTGTCAAAGCGAGCAAGTGGATTCGCTACCGGTTTTTGAATGGATGTTGACGAAAATCATATAAATTATAGGAGTGTTTAATTATACACAAAATTGTCTTGATTATTGAAATCAGACAATATTCTGGACAACGCGAGTATGACCATAAAGATCTGCCTTTTCCTTATCATGGGCTTCTAACATCTAGTAGTGAATAACCACAATGATGTTGGGGCATTTGCAAAACCCAGGACCGTAGGTGCCTGCGCTGGGGATCGAACACACTATTACCCTATCCAGGGGCTAACGCGTTCACCACCACACCATGCGGGCCCTCCGTTTCACCTTCTTCTCAGTTTTCTATCTACCAGTGCCATCATCAATCACAGGATTGATATTGAAAGCACAAATCAACATTGAACTCAATTAAGCTGAGGCTGTAGTCGAAATCACAATGTTAACCTTTTTGTCTACTGCCGACTACAACTTTTTGCACTGCAGGTTATGAGGTAAAGTGTGAATAGTTTCGAACTTTGATAATTTTTGTTCGTACGCTTGAAAACGTTGCCGTTGGCTAAAGTTTTAAAGTCTTCTAAGGAGAAAATCTCGTGCTTCAAGGTCTGAACGGTGATATAACCGCAATCTTTGTACAAGACATTTGAAATGTAGATATCCAGCCAACGACTCGGACTTTGCATACAGCAGGCCAAGAAATCCATAAGTATGTTTCAGGAATGCCCTGAACCATTTCGTCTAGCAACGGCTGTTCGTCTAACAATGTTGCGTTGTGACGGTGGTTGGCGCTACCCATTACACATCTGGAGCAGAACTGCTGTCGAGCACCATCTTGAACTTCGTCACACCGCAAATTTTTTTATTCCGTGTGCTACTGAATGGATAGATACATAAAGTGCAATCTCCTTTTTATAAAAACGATCCAAAACTGGAATAATATATGGTTGGCAATTCTGATGTTAGCGCTTTTCCACTTGGGGATTACAGGTGAATAACATTAACAGTTACGTCAGAAGCCGAAAACCTCATCGATAGCAGCAAATGATTCAGACTCGTCGTATACGCTGTCTTCCGTAGATAGTACTCAACCTAATGCAATAAAAAGTAGCTGCTTGAGCTGCTGCTGAAAAGCAGTTAACGATTTGGCAAGATTTAAAAGGAAGACGAACCCGAAGTTGTGAAAAATGTGAAGGACAGAATAATTAATGTCTTGAAGAAGAGATGGTGATTCATTGTGTCTTCAGTCCACTACGAACTGCAGCACGCTACCATGGCTGCGAGAACTGTTGAAGTTGCACCGTCGAAGTTTAGGCTGAAAAAAGTTGGTAATCTGGAAAAGATTTCTTTTTGTCTGGTAGATGGATTGTCCGATGAGAAGCAAATGGTTATCAACGGGCAACCAGTATCAACAACAACGGTCCTGTATAAAAGGGCATCGCCGGGTGAGATTGCCACTAGTAGCCGCTAACCTGCATTTGAAAGTCACTCGATTGACTAGACTGTAGACTTTTGGCCAAACCGACCTGATAAAAGCTGCATACAGCAAGAACTTTTTTGTCCGAGTGTATGAATATGATTACGTCTGTAGAGAAGGGAGTTCATTCCGTTGCTGCAGATATGTGAAGACTTTTCCCCGAATCCACTTGATCCTTACGGCCTACATCTCTCACTTGACAGATATTTGTGAATTAGCGATGTGTAGACGAGTTTCATGTCAGCATTACTTGACCTCACGTATGGAATTTTTGAATAAGCTAATGGGTTAACCCTACACACAAAGATGTTGCGATCTGGGATATCTGTGCCCTGCTGAAGGCTAGAAATCGTTGCATACGAAATGTGAAGCAGAGGCAAAAGCTATTACAGCTGATATTTCATAGAATTCACAAAGGAAAGCTATAATCGTAGCGATACCATTGGGAAACTCCTTCAAGAAGACTTTGAATTCTGCAAACCAAAATGTTTTTTGTATTCACAGGAAAGAAGTCTATTTGACAACTATTATAACCCAGTACGAACTTTATTCGCGGCCTCCTTTCTGAACAACAATTCACTGGTGAACAAAATGGATGATTGGCGGTGAAAGTGCTGTCTTCGCTGGTTTTGCTCACTTTAGCCTTTTAGTCTACTAAATTAAAATCATTTGTATCAGATGTATATGATGTTGAGTGACAAGCGAAGTTATCTTTTGAGATTCAACATGATATCTATGAAGTGAAAATGGCCTGAACAAAAAATAATTTGGAAGAGTGGCATGTATAGGAACGGAAGCGACACAGTGTGTTTCCCATTGAGCCTGTTTTTTAACTTGATTTTTGAAGCGCTATTTTCTCACACTTACTTATACTTTGTTAGTCTTTGTACTTCGAAGAGATGTACTCAATTCTCCGCTTTATTAAGATGCCGTGAAAACACTGACGACGTCCGAGGACGTGTCGATCCCATTCGTTCGGGAAAAATGTCTCGCTGCTTTTGAGTTGGCTTTTGACAAAGGGAATGACAAAGCTGCTCACTACGCCGTCGAAGGAGTTCAGGTACAGTTCGCTCTTCTTGATTTGTCAATTAGTTCACCTTTAAGTACTGTTTTGCATGTCTCAACCGTGTACTCATTCGAATGCTACATGAAATGAGTTTGTAAAGAAGGCACACATTACAAACAGGAGTCGGGCGAAGCGATTATCATTCTAGTTTTTATATACCTAAGAAAATTTCCATTTTCATTTTTTCATGAGATACAAGTGAAGCAGAGACGATGCTCAATGAACTAAACGAAGGGGGAAAGAGATTGGACTGCGCGTAGGACGAAGATCTAATTCATGAGGAGTCCATGATGCGAAGGTGAACAAGTCAGACTGGACGTGGTTCTCTGACCACAGAGACCATCTTGTACGTATACCTTGGGCGTTCAAAGAACATGGAGAACAACATGAAGGAAGAATTACGCAGAAGAAAGTGGGTAGCATGGGCCTTATTCGGGCCTTTCAAAAAAGCCACCGATCAGCTAGCGATTTCAAAGCTGTGCGCTTATTTTTTCAGCTCAATACTCTCTCAACTCTCTGTTATGCGGAGGAAACGTCTGCTGATACTCGAACTACGTCAAGAGCTCTGCGTATTACCCACAGTGTGTTTGAGCGATATCTTCTGAAATTTAACCGGCACTCACAACATCTAGCCGGAATGCGCAGTTCAAATATTCGAAACCTATCCCATCTTCAAGTTCGAGAGGTGTATACCTCAGTAATGAGACACAAATATGTGGTCACAGAATAAGAACACCAAATGACAGATGGACGAAAGGAACAATGTAGTGGACTCCAACAAAATGCAGGCGTCCTCACGGAAGACTGCACGAATGATGGGTGGACCTGTTCATGGTCAACTTCAATCATCTGCACTCGCAGATGGCAACGATTTCAGCGTTACGGAATGGGCCTCGCGGAGTTCACCACGTTCGAAGCAGACCACCACCATGGATAGCGATTGAGCAAGTGAGAAACGAATGGAAATTATGCTGGAGCCCGCACAACCAGTGAAGACGGGTCATACCTATGTTCAAGTATCCAAGTTGGTAACTATGAATTTCTCTGTATGTTGTATTCTTCCGTAATGAGGATACGTGCAGCGCACTGGTGTCTTGTAATACACACTGGATTAATTGCTGGTTCGATTCCGCGCAGGGAGGGGGGAGTCGCCAACACCCTATCCATAGTAGGCGGGAAAATTGGTAAGAGATTTGTAAGAGAAGGTAAAAACGCTGACTTTATACATCGGCAGGCCATCGTAAGCTATATGTAACTTTAACAACCTCTGGGAGACTTGAAGAATTGGATTGAGAGCACGTTATAGAGATTGATCAACGACGAACCTTTATTCTTTAGACCGGATTAGATCACACGATGGGAAGACAATAGGTACCATAAGCACTGAGTTATATCCGAAAAGTATGAAAAGATGGAGAAATACTAGCTGGTCAAGTCATTACTACAACGCATGTGCAATTTTTCCTGCGCGTCCTTCCACAACAGATTTACAGCTGCCAACTCAAGGCGGCAAGTCCGCTGTAGCCAGCTGTCAAGGACCAGATGGAGAAACTTATCATGATCATATTGAAATCCATAGCCTGTGACAATGTTTTTCAGAAACATTCATCGACATCGTCTTCATAATCAATAAATTTTGGAGCGGTAGTTGATATTATGTAATTATTGTTCTGGATATATGGATTTTTGGATAATCCATATTACGACTCCTGTGAGTATTAATCCGTCGTTCGTACCGACCATCGAGCTGGTGGAAGTAAGACTGCGTGCATCTCAGACGTGATTTTCAACGAAGATACCGGATTCCCTTCGTAGTTTATTTCGCCATTCCTCTCTATTCCTACCTACTTCTAGCATATGACTGGCCATCATTGGTGTTAAATGCGAAACTTAGATGGAGAATAGATCATTTACTGGAGGATTATTTATTTGCAAAATCCTTAAGTGGTATCTGAGACCTCCATTTATAACGAATATTTTCAGGTCCTGCTTCGCGATACTCGTTTTCACTCCACATCAATCGAGAGTCCAAATCACAGCTTACCAACTCAGGTATTCATTTCACTCGTCCGTCAAATAACTATGCCTAATGTGAACGCCACTCTCTAGGTGCTCAGTTCAGTGACTGGTGTGGCTCAGTGGAACTCTCAATTACAATGTCACTGTCTCACGGTATGTTGAAATCTTTCGATAATTTGCAGTTATTTCTACATTAGTCGATGTTTCACTTATTCTCGTTGTTCGACTTTTGCGTTAACAGTTTTAGTATGCTCTTATTACTAAATATCTATATTTCACGCTGTACATCACTTGGGAGGTAGTATTCCGCGCACTCAGTTCTCACAAGCCGTTACTATAATGTCACACTTACTGAACATTTCAGCTGTTGGTGGAAATGGTTTGCTCTACCGAACTACGAGTATCTCTGCAGGAAGTCGAAGAATGCTTAGAGGTAGATGAGTTACTCTTATACCGCTAAATAACCAGTACATTAGTGAACTGTTCAGCTGTACATGAGGGTATTCGGCTCGACTCGTGACGAATCTGCCCGTGTGTCCGCTCGGGCAGCTGTCTCTCAGTCCATAACTGGTTATTGTTCTAATAGATACTCAGCCGCAGTAGGTTATACCATTTTAAAATTTTCAATTATGAACTAAACTATTGTCGTGGAAAGACATTGTTATGAGACATTGTGAAAGAGACACAAACTGTTGTTGTCGGAAACCTTATGGGACCATAAGAATCGAACAAGAACGTTCTTACAGAGAGTAGCTAGAATAATAAGCATAATTTCAACACCCAAATTTCATTGCCGCATCTACTGTATACTCAATTTTTGAAGCACATGTTGTGAGTTGAGATGAACTCATACCGCCCCACCTACTAGCCTTCGCTCACACATGAAATCATACCTAACCTTTTCATCAGCTACAGTGCTTGTGTTATTTTATCTGTACAAAAAGCAATTAGGCACCGCGAAAAGTAGCCTCATCTTGGTATCCGCCTCTTCCTTAACACTCCTCTACTAGTGCTTTGCTCATCATCAGCGATCTGCTTGGAATGACGAATAAATTCGTCCGAAACCGGCTCTTTATATGCTATTGATCGTGGAGAATAACCTTAGTGATCCAACATATGGCACTTTGATTTGTTAGATGAGGTATCGATTGGACGCAAAAGCTGCAGAAAATGGCTTCTGTGGCGCAAAATAAAATTGCGAAAAGGCAATGAGTTGGTAACAATTTATGTTGATCGATTTAACTCCATATATTAGTGAAAATCACCTCACATCGGACTCTAAGTGATAGTATGTTCCTTTATTTAACAAGTAGCGCCCGTAAATGGATTGGGTGCAATGCACGCGTCTAGGACAGCTCGGACAAAGTGCGTCGCTAGCATTGCATTTTTTTCCAGTGGTTTATTTTCTGCACAATTTTATTTTCGAGCTCGTTTTTTGTATTAAGTCGATGGGCGTGGTTTGTAGAAAATCTCTGTACCCTTAACAATTTACAAAATACATTCTTCTCTTGAGCTCACGCCAGTGCGATCTCGCCAGTGTCGACTGCAGTTGATCCAGTTAAATTTGCCCGTCTTGCACAGCGGAGCAAAAACTATCTGCTCTGTATTGACTTTTAATTCCACCTTTCAAGTACAACCAGAGCAGTAGATCGGAGTCTGTTCTATGGTTTCTTCTCTGATGAAGACAAATGCATCGAAACGTCAGTCGAATGAACCTTTTTATCAACCATGTGTTAGCTTAATAATCAGTAAAGGTATCTCTTCTATAACTCCCTTACTTATGTTTTGAACTCCTTTAGCAATTCATTTTTCCTTTATTGTCAAAAAATTTTCATCGTTCATTCTATGTCGACAGCGATGTTTTTGAATGGCGAACGAGCTGTACCACGTCCGTAACCAGCAAGAAGTTAGGCGTAGTCCCTCGCGGCAACGCGGCAACCCGAATTAAACCCCAGATGTTATGCATAATGCGAATGCGTAGTCATCAATCAAATACTTCAAGGAAACAAAATCTTCGTAGAAATGAGGGGAATTTAATGCTTATTATAGAATAACTGGAAATTGCACTGAAATTTATCGAGGGATTCAAATCCGAGTCAGGCTTTGGAAAATGTATAGTTCAATGTGTTTTCGCTCTAGAAATTGTAATTAGGTCACCTTTTTTCTGTTGGTGAACCACGTCAAACATTGGCAGCTGAACAACTCATGTCTCTCTTGCAACATCCATGTATGCACATTTGAGACAGTTTAACGAAAAAGGCCTTTTTTAACAAAGGAGGTCCGTCGTCATCGTGTATATGAATTAAATCCTTATATTTTATACCGTATTCCGAATATCATTGCCCTGACAGGCTATAAAGTCCCTTATAACCACTAGTTTACTCAGATTGCACACCGTTTCAGGAAGAGTCGCAGAATGCCTTGTCGGTTTACATGGACGTGACGAAGCTGCTCGAAAGCTACGTGGCCAAGTTGGAGCAGCTGACGGCGTCGTCAGACCACAGTGTGGTACTGTTTGATGCGGTGAACGCACTGCTCACCGCACAGCCTCTTAGCGTTGTGAAGCACACTCCGTTTGTGAACTTACTGTGGTGGGTAAAGCATCAATGCGATCACTACTGATTCATGCCCTCACTTTAGTATGGGGCACTCTCTATAATTAATTCAATACCACTAGTCACCACTGTTGAGCACACTTTGAAGAACCTGTGGAGCCAATTATGAACTGCTATCATGGCAAAGTTGATGATCAGGTCTACTTTGATGGCACTTTGGCAGCACTTTACTCCATTTAAATCATTTCCACTAGAATTCACAAGATCAGGAACGTGCACATACAGCTGTCTCCGGAACGATTTCTATGCAGCAATTAAGAACTCCGCCTTAGGCTTATACTTGACAAAAGTGCAGCTAAGCTAAATTCCAGCCACTAAGAGAGGCCTTTTGATGATTTCTGATAGCCATGGTCACCAATCATGTTGTTTTTTAATTTATAAGTAAGCGCAGACGTAAGTCTTTTCATATCGAGGAAAGAACCAAATTTCTCTTCATGATAGGATTAAGTCTTAATGAGAAGTTTTAGTTTATGAATATCTTCCCTCTTGAAATGGTTTTGGTGTTTATTGTTCTCACTAAGCATGTATCGTGACGACGTTTCTGTTCTGATTTCTGCCTTTGTGCCTACAAACAGCGAGAAATCCCTACTTAATGGAAGTGTTTTCTTAGGGAGAAGCTTTGTCCATTGATGATAAGACTCTTTGGTGTCCCGGATAAAAATGTCACAAATGCGACGATTAGCAGTGAAACGCCTCTGGGACAAGGACAGATGGCAAAGTTCACGCTCAGTCCAGCAGTGGTCGCAAATCCCGAGGCCACACGACTTATGTACCAGTCAGTTCATTTTTTTATTTATCGCCCATAGATTTAAAACTTTTCCATTTGCTTCTTAGAATGAAACCATCAAGACATATGGCTCACTAAGAAACGGGAACTTTATACTTTCTGTTAGTATTGTACGGATCAGTAATGCTCAATATGACCTAATCAGTGTCTCATGAGAAGTACAGTGCGAAAATAGAAATGTGATCGGTGACGGTAATGATCGATTACTATTAATAAAAATCTGTAGATCACAGCGGGTTCTATTCCAATCAACAAAGTCCACTGTGAACTGTGTGTTGGATTAAAGCCGAAAGAAACCGTTAGTTTTCCGTTCTACATTGGTCGCAAGATTATAAACGCCAGCTCCGTTGAGTTGACAAGCAATCTTCCTGCGATATAGTAGTCTTTCATCGTCCAGTGAATATCGCGGATCGTTGGTGTAACAGCATGAAAATGAAGGTAAAAGTTCACAACAGGTCACAACCATGGGGTTAGATGCCTCAAAGATGGCAGATACTTCAACAGAGCTATTTGTGTTGTTCTGTTTCTCAACTGGACCAGCTTCTGCTCTATTGTTTGTGTTGTTTAAACCACTTGTAGTCGTTGTACTTTGGGTCACAACAGCAGCAGCGGAAGGGTAGAACATGTGAGCATCTTAACAAGAGCCCACGTAATTTTCATTCACAATAAACTGTAAACTCTTAAGACATGCATAAAAGTAGTCGAAGATTCTTCAGCGCGTAAGCGTATTACAAAAGCGAATTTTTGCTCGAACAATTTTTCAAAGAGGAAGCTCCGCTTTCATGGAAGTTTTAAGGATTCTGGATCAGCTTGTGCGCATCATGGCTGGAATTCCGTCCGTGTATCCGGTTTTGGAAGCTTTGTTTCACAAAGCGTTCCTCTTCCCAAAAATTGAGCAAAGGACTGAAGCTATCAGAATTATTAAAAAGGTACAGAAATGCTTCATAATTCTTGATTTTCTCACGAAATAGAAAAAGGACAAAGCCCTCGGCGTCGATCGATCCCTGAGAGATACGCCATGCACTCGACTTCATTAAGCATCGTTGGAGGTGATTGAATGCATATCTGGCCTTTACAATGACTCACAGTAACCTACCGATGTATCGAATCAGTGCTGCTATCCTCACAGACAGGTCTGGTATCAATTTGCAGACCCCGAAAAGATGGAGAGGTTGCTGAACGTGGAGCGCGGGATCGAACCCATGTGGGTTGCAGGGCGCCTCTAACAGCTGCGCTAGACGCGCCTTTGTTTAATTGTTTAAATAAGCTCACAAATGTCTTTCCAGCTCTAAGAGATGTTGATGTGCTATGAAAACCCGAGACCATAGCCTGAAAATCTTAAGCTTTAGAATAACTTATTGCCGTTCTTTAGAATCTCATGCTATCTTCGTGAATTTCCACAGATCAAGAGTTTAAGATTCTAAGTTTTTTTTTCCAAATTCGCCATTTTTTACAGCCAATAGTAAGTTGACTGCCGATCTTCTTATTTACGAAACGTTGCTGAGAATATTTCAAAATCAACTTTCCTTTAACCTTGGTATAAGTAATCAACATGTATTCTTTCTTTGATAAGCTTACATATTAGTAAACAATCTTTATTCGGTTAATGTTTTGAAGTCTTCGTCTTTCTCAGAGCCGCTGATCCAAGTGAATCGTTCACAGCTGATCGTCGTCGCCGCGTGGTTGTTCGTTGTCGCATCGAGTCGAATGCAGTGGAGGGAACACCGCTGGAATGAGCCAACTTCACCCGGCAGCGCTCTTTATATAGGATGAGGACGTCTGTTTTGTTATGCTGCTGGATGAGTTGGCTTCATTTGAGCGTTGCTCCACTGAAGAAGATAAGACTTCATACGACGACGAAAATGCCACATCAAGAAGACGAACAATTGTGGACCATCGGCTCGGATCATCGGCTCTGATGAGGACGAAGACGTCGAAACGTTAGCGGAATAAAGATTAATTATCAACCTCGTGTCAGCCTATCAGGGAAGGTATACATGTTGCTGACAATGTTTAAAGTCAGAGCTGAGTCTACTTTAGAGTTACTACCTTTTTGTTGGTGAGCTTCAACATATACAGTCCGATGTACCTTATTTCCATTCACAGACAGACCAGTAAGTCGGTCTACGTGACACAAAATCATTTTCTGCTAAGCCGTTTATTTTACTGCATAATCATTCCTTCTGTGCTTTTTGTATTTCTTCGATGGTTTATACAACGCAATGCAGTGTATCTGGCATCAAACCATAAAAGACCGAACCACCATATTCTCTACACTGGGTAGTAAACACAAAAATGAATTTCGGAAGCGTTTATTCTTTAAGTCATGGAGTATTACGGGTGCCATCCATAGCTAGATGACGGGCGGTAAATGTTGGCGCAGATTTCGTTAGCGTGCAGTAAGATTCCCTGTAGTGAGCGAAGCTTTTCTACCGTTGCTGATGGTGCAGGGTGTTCTAATCTAATAGGATAACTACTACTCCCAGTCGCGACGAACACTTGTGTAGGGAAACCAAAAGAAGTCCTTGTGTCCCGTGTGCAGTCTGTGGCGCTCGGGATCCGACGACAGTGCTTGCAGATGCTGTCAGAACGACGACGCGTAGGTGACATCGTGTCGTCGTGTGTGCGCTCCCGCTCACTGAGCCTGTGGCGGATGTTGCTGGTGTGCATGGCGGAGTGTGCCCAGCCCCAGCACGAGGTCTCCATTGAAGCGGTGCGCGCATGCGGCTCCATGGTAAGTCAGTGGTCAAGTACTTCAGTGTTTGAGAACAGCAGAGAAACGAACAGGTATTGTACCAAATAGTTTTCACTCCACTACTGCCGTATCAACCTGTTTTGATGAGATTAAACCTTGAGCATGAATTCCTAGGAAAACTAGGTTCTCTGTTTAGTCATGAGTCGCTCAAAATGACTATGGTCTACATATTACGAAATGAGACCTTCAAGAAGAATTCAGAATTGTATTAGTCATATTTGAATTCACCCAAACCTCCTAGTCTAACTCCAAAAATTTTTTAGTTAGCTTGACCGTTTGAAACGGTAGTATTTTCCCAAAAACTTCTGCAAAATAAATCTCAGTTTTCATTTACTGCCCATTCTTTTTTCATGGTATGTTACGTTGTAACACTATAACGAAAGGATACTGACATATGAGCAAAGCTTGGGACTCCATACGGACTTCGAATCAGCGATTACCCTTACCGTAGGTGCATCAGTAATCTACCACGCCAACTGAGGCTGTTGCTCTGCTCCTCTCTCTTTTTTCAGCCAATTCTTTACTCTATCGGTCCTGCTAACAATTATGTTATGCAATAATGTGCTGCTGTTGATAACAGCGTTATAGTATAAAAAACTGGGGTTGAGAGAATGGCAAAAGGACTCGGTTTATGTAGTGGATAACATGTCAGACCCCGGTAGGAGCAATAGCGGGATTCGAAGCCCACTTGAGGTTCCGAGTTTTGCTCATATCTCAGCATCCTTTGGTTAAATTATATCTACATCAATCTGCTGTACAACTTCTCTATTCGAAAATTTTCGGCCAGAATAGACAGTTTATCGTTTAGCTGCGAGGAGTTCTAGATTTCTGTGACTCGTCAGATCTCCTAGAAGAAGAGGTGAAGTGGAAACTGAAGGAGATGTTTCCAACATTAGCCGATGTGAACCCATGGAGTACGTATATGTTGTAATTGTTTTAAATTTCACTGAGTATTCGTCAGAATACTGTTGCCTTAAAATTACGGCATCACCGTTCTAGAACGGAGTTTCTCGGTATTTGACTGTTGTTTACAACACATTCTTTTTCCGAGCACAGTGAACCAAACATTGTTTTAGATTTTTTTTGGAAGTCCAGTTAAAACAAACCTTATAAAACCTTGTTCACCCATATGTTGAAGCATGGCTGAGAGAAAGGCGAAACGAAAGACCCGCATAGTGTAGCGGTGAAGATTTTAGCCCCGGAAAAGTAATTACGGGCTCCATCCCCACCGCAGGCACTTGCAGTCTAGAGTTTTGCAAATATCTCAGCACAGTTGTGGTTACTAATGAATAAATCGATTTTGTCACTACTAAAACTGACAAGGAAATTGCAATGTTATGCTTTTTATTTTCTGCCTACTATAATTTCGCGGCAGGGTACTCACCACCACACCATGCGGGTCCTGGGTTCTATGCCGATTTGCGCTCCCCAGATCAACCCCGCTGACGGGTGATTGCTGTGGCAAAAAGATCGATAGAAATAGCTGAGAGACGTGCGAAACAAAGGACCCGCATGGTGTGGTGGTGAACGCGTTACTCCCCGGAAAGGATAATAGCGCGTTCGTTCCCCACCATAGACACCTGCGGTCCAGAGTTTTGCAAATATCTCAGCAACGTTGTGGATGTATTTCGATTAGTAACCTGCCATGAAAATTATAGAAGGCAGAAAACAAAACCTTAAACATTATCTCAGCAACGTTGTGGTTGACAAGGAAATTCTTAATTGTCAGGTTACATGTCTCCTTTGGGGATTGGACAGTGCGCCACACTGAAGTCTGACATCGCTAAGAAACAGGATATTACATCAACGAAAGACCAATTAGATGATGTTAGTGGTATCTTAATCGAATTCTCTTCTTTTATGATGATTCTTTTCTCTGCTAACATGTTTTTCATTGCCAGGAAATGAATAAGATGCTGAATAAGCTCGCGGAAAAGTTTAGCCTCAAACCGATCAGTGAAAACGATGTGACGTCGGTGTCTATCGCCGAAACGAGGACGTCGGATAACGACGAATCGGTCAGCTTTTTCACCGTCAACTTGAAATTGCAGTGGTTTTGGCAGAGATTTATCCTTTGGTAGCGTGACGTTTGTTTTTACCATGATTTTCATTACTTTTCAGTAATTGGTTGTTTCTCACCTTGTAATCATCATGATGAACCCTACCTATGAAATGGGATAGACTGATCTAGAAAATGTATAAAAATGCAGACATATCACAATGTCGTAACTTTTACTTGTTGTCTACTCTTACTTTAATGTAGGGTATGATGTGGGCTAAACCACAAGGATGCTGAGATATGTACAAAACTCGAGACCCCATGTAGGTTTCAAATCCGTGATTAACCTTACCAGGGGGCCACGTGCTATCTACTACACCAATCGACTCACGTTCTTTGCAATTCTCTCAGCCAGTTCGGTGCTATTAGCAATGGAATCATGGTTGCACTTCATATCGTACCTTGCCATGGAGAAAAATAGACAGTAACTTTAAAAAAGTTAAAAACATTGTGATTTCAACTGCAGTTCCAGGTTAAATGAGTTCAACGCCGGTTTGCGCTTCCAGCTCATTCCCGTTTACGACTGACTGCTGATCTTATGGCGCCGATAGAGTTAGAAACTGTCTCAGTGAAAGGCAAAGTAAGGGCCTCGATCGGTGTTGTGGATAGCACATGAGACCCTGGTAAGGTATTGTGGAACTATGCTCTAACAGTGTTGTTATGCCGATTACCAGCGGCTGACAGCAGTCTAATTACGGTATGGTCGAGATCCTACATCGGACAGAATTTTCTGAGAGCATAGAAAGAAGTCTGTAGAACAACGGAGATTATGTTGTTAATAAAAATAAGTTTCCAGGGGGATAGGAGATGATAGCACAGTGGTAGTAATTGATACCCGTCACCACGATCGTACTGCTAGTTCGATTCTGCTCCGTGCCAACCAAGCCTCTCATTCCTCCGGGTCCGGGAAATTGGTATCGGACTTGTCTGCGAAAAAATCACTCTGTGCAGTACAATTGAGAACGCTTCAGTCCGGCTATCTCAGGACTCTAGGGAGAATTGCTCGACCAGCATTCTGCGACATTCAAAATGAAATGAAAATTCTCATGCAACAACAGAAGCCACACGTAAAGATGGAAGGTCTTCGGGGACGATGGATGCGAGGAAACGAATCGAATGTGAGAAGTGCTTGGATCCGCACAGTAGACGTGAAGATGAGTCAACTAGAGCAAAATAAAGATAAAAATGAAAAGAAGTGAAAAAAAATCAAAATACAGAGAGAAAAGTGCAACAAGTGGGAAGATGTCACGTTAATATGGGAAGCATTTCATCGACACTGCGCTGAACTTTCATGCTATGCAATTTGCGAACGAAAACTGCCTAAGGTGCAATACTGATAGGGGGGTAGAAGCGGTGGGAAATGTTGTTGTGGTGTATCAAATGAAAGAGCAATGCAAATGCGAACACACTTCACCCAATCTATTAAGCAAAGGAGTCTTTCCTTTCTACCGCGTTATAGTGAAGGCAGCATAAGCGATAAAAATATGGCTTTCTTTTAGACTGAGAAGATCACTGCTAGGAAGTTTGTGGACTCTTTGATGGATCGCATTGCTGAATGGAGTAAATTTAAATCGACATTGGAAGTGGATGATGCGATTTTGGAGTTCTCTTCAGGATTCTACAACGGTTACAAACTTCGTATTTAATATATTTTTCTATTGTGTCCGTGGTGAATTTTTTTCGTGCAGTTTTTTCGGCCATGCAGAACGAAGCCTTCAAATTGAAGTCGAAGGCACAGCTTGAGTTCCTGAACACCGATGCCATCTACATCACCGTTTACTCAACTCTTTGTCTCGCTTTACGTGGAAAAGAAGTTGTACCATGGGTAGGAGCCTTCTACAGATTTTCTTCCCGTTTTGAAATAAATCATTAATCAAGGGGAAGAATAAATGAATTTTGAAGGGAGAACCAAAATTTTAAAAGAAATTGAGAAACAACGCGAATAGAAGGCTTGGCAGGGTCATTAAAAGCAACGGAACAATGTGATTAGACTAGTAATAGCCCCAGTACGCCGTGTTCCTTAGGTTGAAGGCTCATCTTTATCAGCTGTAGGTACATTAGTGGTCGAATAGCTCTAGGAAACACCTGCAAGATCTCCAATCACCTCCATCGCAAACCAGAGTTGCCCACTGCACCTTCTCGGTTGAGATACACAAAGAGCATCGCATTTTTGGTATGAGATCTTTTCTTTTTGCTATTCTCCACTAGAACCTAGCTACTACTGCGGGGTTTTGCGCAGCGAATTCGTCAAGTTTGGTGGGTGAATGACTGGATGAAGGGTGAAGGCTTATACGTAAATTGTTGTGGGCTCACGCATATTAGACGTCTTGTTCATTCGTAGAAACAGACCAGGAACAGTCTCTTGTATCTTCCCCATTTACTTATTAATAAACTTTTAGACAGATTTTCTGACAGCCAACTACATAATTTTGCTCGTCTGATGCAGCAGGGAGAATAGTAACTTTTGGATCCACGTTCATCTCAAAGCGCGCAGTTCCGCTGAGATGATTTTGGTCCACGTTTCGCTCTACACTATCCATACCTATTCTTCGCTTTGAAGGACGCTTTCCACGTAGCTAGCTAACCTTTCGACTGGAACTACATACGGAACCAGCAAATATCGGACTAAACTTCCAAATCCTTTGTACCCTGTACCTTGTCTTGACAAATACCCTTTGTCTTCTCATAAAAATCAACGATTTATTTGTTTCATCTAGAATTGCCGCAAACTAGCGTGACGTTGCTTCTTGCAAAATTATGGAGTTTTTGAAATAGAACTCATTAAGGCCATTAGCTAAGTAATAACATAGTGCCAGCTGTTCCTATTTCTAAGCTATCAAGTCTTAGAGTGATAAGGATTCTCGAAAAAAGTGTTTCGTGAGACGATGGGTTGTGACTTTGGTTTCCACAATATCTTTACATTTTCTCAGTGCTTTCCAATGTTAAGGCCACGTTCCGCGATAGTGTGCTCAAGTCCGGCTGCATAGTGTACGTGAGTGAGAGCTGGCTGCGGAATGTCTACGACACGGCGCTCGACGCTCCATTTCCCGATGTCGCGGCAGCTCTTCTACACGTTGTGAAAGGTAAGAAGTCAAGTAAACGATTTTTTTCATTGCAAATAAATTAGTTTTTACTGCAGGACTTTGTCTGCTCATGTGAAATTTGAAGAAATTTGATCGAAACATTTTGACATTGATGGCAGTTTGATAATTATATGAAAGTTCTACATTTTGTCAATAACTTCACCTCTATCACATCTTGTCCCATGGATCGTCCAGAAACTCGAAAAGGGGCTAATAAATCTTCTACTTTTCCCTGTTGCGTGCAAGAGTAAGCAAGTGGGTTCTGCTCGCTCTAGAAACTCGTTGAGTATCACGACTTCCTTCTAGCTCTTTCGTGGAGAACTCTGACCATCGCGTCGGTGGTCTTCCTGCAGTGCGTTTGACATCCCGAAGAATCCAGCCACTAACGGCCCCGGTTCATCGGTTGTCATTCATACGCATTACATGTCCAGCTCACCTTATTTTCCACTGTTTGGCGTACAGAACGGCATCTTTGATTTTTGATCGTTGGCGCAGGTCGGAGCTTCGGATTGAATCCCTTACTTATGTGGAACGGGATACTCCTAGCATCGTCCCTTCGAATGCGCGTTCGATAACGATGAGGGACCTTTCATCCTGCTTACGCAGCTACCAGGTTTCTGACGCATACGTTAGGGCAGGAAGTACCGTTGAGTCGAAAAGGTGGGCACGGAGTCGGGTGTTTTTTGTTCTCTTCACTACATCCTCGATGCTCTTGAAAGCACCCCAAGCCGCTCGTTTCCTTCTGCTCATGTCTGGAGCTAAGTCGTTCATTATATTGATTTCCCGACCTAGGTAGACATAACTGGAGCATTCGGAGATATTCGTTCCGCTGAGCATGAATGGGGCATGCGAAACTAATATTCTCTTCATGAATATCGGTTTTGTGAGATTTGGTCGAAGACCAATCTTTCCAGAGGCTTTATCAAAGTCGTCAAGCATACGATCCGCTTGGCTAGTGTTTCGTGTTATAAGGACGATGCCATCAGCAAAGCGAAGATGATGTAACTGCCGACCATCGATTTTCACTCCCATGTTATCCCATTCCAATGTTCGCATGACGTCCTGGAGGGTGGCGGTAAATAATTTTGGCGAGATAGTATCGCGTTGCCTAACTCCTCCTTCGACGTCAATGTTAATATCGTTGTAGAATGGTGATATCTTGGTTGTGAAATTTTTGTACAGCTCACGAAGAATCTTTATGTACTGAGTAGGAACTCTCTGACTATCAAGGGTTTCCATGACTGCTTCTATCTCAATTGATTCAAAGGCCTTCTGTAAATCAATGAAAGTGAGACAGAGCGGTCTTTTGTACTCTCGCGATACTTCAATGAGCCTTGCTATCGTGTGGATGTGGTCCACTGTACTAAATCCTAATCGAAACCCTGCTTGCTCACATGGCGCCCAGTGTTTTGTCAATCCTGTTTAGGATGACTCGAGTGAAAAGTTTATAGATGACAGACAGCAAGCAGATTGGGCCATAGTTGCCTATATCGTGTGGGTCACCGTACTTGAACGATAACACGGTCTTGCTGGTCTTCCACTGAGCAGGGACCTTGCATTCAGACAGGTAACGTGTGAATAGCCGAGCCAGTGCGTTTATGACTGGCGGAAGGTTCTTCAGGTGTTCAGATACTGTCCTGTCCGGACCTGGTGCTGTTCTATTTTTCACCGATGAAACGGCGTGTCGGATTTCGGAAGTGTTTCTGGAGACATACTTCTCTTGGTGACTTTCGAACTCTGAGCTTTCATAGCGCTAACGTGAAGATTTTGAATGAGCCGATCGCATTCCTAGTCGATGTTATTGGCAAAGGCATCTTCCTAACAGCCGACTAATGAATTGAATAAGTCCCAGTTTGCGGTTATTCTGGGACTTCAGTTTTTGAATTTAGCGACTTTTTCTCCTTTCCGCGAGAAATAGAATCTTGCGCGAAGGAGACGGTGTTCTGATCCCGTGTAGAATTTTGGGGCAACAGCGACATCTGTTAGGCAGAACCTGTTTACTGAGATGTGGTCTGTCTCGTTATGGTACTCTCCATTGGGAGACTCCCACGTCAAGCGTTGAGGATGGGGCTTCTGGAATTGCGAGTTACCACGGATTGTCTTGGTTGCCATGATAAACTGAGACAGCCGTTCGCCCTGTTCGTTCCATTCTAATCCGTGGGTGCCAATGTGACGTTCTTCAGACATTCTTCTTGGTCCAATCGTGGTGTTGAAATCTCCAATGATAACCTTGAAGAATGTATGGTCTTCTCTATAGAACTTCTCCAAGTCCGTATAGAACGCTTCGACTTCTTCTCCGTCATAGTTTGACGTGGATGCGTAAACGACGAAGATTGTCAAAGCCGGTGTAGTATGAGTATAACAGTATTTTAACGAAGAAAAATTCTATTGCTTCAAAAGATACTTGTTTAGATTATGACGGACTGGATCGCAGGATTCTTACCGATGTTGAACGTCTGCAGCAGATTTCGCTCGGAAAACAGCAGGAGAAACTTGTGGAGGGTGAGTTCGGAGGAAACTGTTGGATAATTTGTTGTGTTATGAGAGAATGTTGAACTCAAGTGATAGATCTTTTGGTCAGTTTTTAGATAACTATGAGGTTCTGCAGTATCCGCAGCTTTTGGAACATCAGCTGAGAAAATGAAGAACACTTTTTGCAGGGAAATAAAGAAATTTTCATGATAAAAATGTGAATACAATACTGAGCTAAGTAAAGATTTGTTTAACCGGTTTTTGATCTTCAAATTCATTCAAATTCCAAACTTTTAAAAGAAACTAGAGATGCTTGTGATTCGGAAACTCTCTTGATTCTCCACTTTCAGAAACAATCGCTGCTCGTTGGCTTATCGCCTCTGAGTGGGACTCTATCGTTCAGATTCTTTCAACATTTCTTGGTATAAAAGGTAATGGAGAGCCATTTCTTTATTTATTTATGTGGTCTTATAAACTGATCTTCTTAAGTTGACGCGAGGTTGGTACAGATCTTCGTTGTCGTTGTCGTTGTTTTTGATGTTATTGATCGATGGCTGACGTTTCGGCGACTTCGCCTTCCTCAGAGCCGTGA